AGTTTTGAAGTTTAAAAGTGTAATTGAACTGGAGTGATAGCTTAGGAACCATAATTCACAACATTCTGCCGTATCAAAACTTTGAAATAGTGACCAGGATTGATTGTTGATTCAGTTTTGAAGTTTTGAAGTGTAATTGAACTGGTGTGATAGCTTAGGAACCACAATTCACAACATTCTGCCGTCTCAAAACTTTGAAGTAGTGACAAGAATTGATTGGTGATTCAGTTGTGAAGTTTAAAAGTGCAATTGTGGTAATTTCTAACAACTATATAGTAGCTAACTTTATGCTCAAGTTTTATTTACTTACCATGACCACGTTATTAGCTTAGGAACCATAATTCACAACATTCTGCCGACTCAAAACTTTGAAATAGTGATCAGAATTAATCGGTGATTCAGTTTTGAAGTTTAAAAGTGTAATTGAACTGGTGTGATAGCTTAGGAACCATAATTCACAACATTCTGCCTTATCAAAACTTTGAAATAGTGACCAGGATTGATTGGTGATTCAGTTTTGAAGTTTTGAAGTGTAATTGAACTGGTGTGATAGCTTAGGATTCACAATTCACAACATTCTGCCGTCTCAAAACTTTGAAATAGTGACCAGAATTGATCGATGATTCTGTTTTGAAGTTTAAAAGTGTAATTGAACTGGAGTGATAGCTTAGGAACCAAGATTAACAACATTCTGCCGACTCAAAACTTTGAAATAGTGACCAGGATTGATTGGTGATTCAGTTTTGAAGTAAGAAAATGTAATTGAACTGGAGTGTCTGATGAGGAGTGATAGCTTAGGAACCAAGATTAACAACATTCTGCCGACTCAAAACTTTGAAATAGTGACCAGGATTGATTGGTGATTCAGTTTTGAAGTAAGAAAATGTAATTGAACTGGAGTGTAATATGAGCTATAATTCACAACATTCTGCCGTCTCAAAACTTTGAAGTAGTGACAAGAATTGATTGGTGATTCAGTTTTGAAGTTTTGAAGTGTAATTGAACTGGTGTGATAGCTTAGGATGCACAATTCACAACATTCTGCCGTCTCAAAACTTTGAAGTAGTGACAAGAATTGATTGGTGATTCAGTTGTGAAGTTTAAAAGTGCAATTGTGGTAATTTCTAACAACTATATAGTAGCTAACTTTATGCTCAAGTTTTATTTACTTACCATGTAATGCCATGACCACGTTATTATATCTACCTAGGATTAGAAAAATGTGCTTGAATGTGCTAGAATTCAACCGAATCTACACGCATTTGATTCGATTTGTCACCGATTTACCTTGGACCAGTAAATCGGATTAAGTAGGATTGGAGGTACCTACAGCCTTATAATCAAATCATCTTACTGATATAAAACTTTAAAGCTTTTGCGAAATTTTGCCCCATTTTGCGTTTTGCTCCGACCGAAAACAAGAAATACGGTATTTCTGCAATAGATTACCAATATATGAACAACTTGCTGTGACTTTGGAGGATTGTTTAACAAATATGATAACGCAGTTTTAACAAAATTAATGTTAGTTAGTAAATTTCTCTACGGTCAAATTCTACAATGAGATCGACTACCATTTTGGTCGGCTGGATTCGGGACCTTTTGAAGTTTGCGCGCGCGTTTTCTTGCCTCTTGGAGTAGGGACCTCAGTGCTGTGTACACAATTTTTCCCGCCTAATTTCAATGCAAGCCCAACGGTCATAAAACAATTACTATTCTACACTTTACTCCATCTTGACATACTAATTGGATACCAGTTTAACTGTTTATACTCTGACTCCTCTTGTTTACACTTTTAACTAATGTCGTACATATTTTCAGTTCCTCTAGTCGTCAACCGTGTGACACTACAGACAGTCAATGGGTGATAATTGAAACCGGAATATCCCACATTGTATTCCATCAGCAAGCATGGTAAAGCACCAAACGATGATGAATGATGACATGGAAATAATGTTTCTAATTCAGTGAATAACCCACAATGAAGATACATCGGACAAATCACTTCTTATAGTTCTCTGCCGAAAAAACTAAACTTTATCTTTTCGTATCAACCAAAGAAACATTTCTTATTACTAAAATGTCAAAACTGCCAAATATTAATTGTATAATAGAATATTATGCTCATTTGGAGAAATAAAGACTTTATTTGTAGAAATTTGTGTTAAAAACCGACAACGATTAAGTAGGATATATTTGCGCCAGATATGTAATATTTTTATCGGCGGACTGATTTCAATATGGTATCTATTGTGATTTAAGACATCAATTTTGAGGAAAAATTTTAATATGTACGGTTAGAAAATCATTTCAGCTTTCTACACTTAACTGCACAATTTTTGTATTGTGTCTATCAGCCAAGAAATTGTTTAATGAAGACAAAAATTATGGGCGCAAATTCGTTCAATATTACCAAATGCGCGGAGGTTTCTTTTTACCATTTTAACAGATTTTATCCGATTTTTAAAATTCTTTCTGTGTGATCATGTGTAAACCTTTATGAATACATTGGTGTACTTCATTTGTCAAATGAAAACGAATAAACACACTAATCAAGCTGTCTAAGAGCGAGATGGCCGTATTTTCCCAATCTGCGCGTGAAAAGGTCCCTACTCCTTCTGCCGCGGTGTAATATAATAATATTTATAAGCCTCCGTTTTGAAAGTTTTAAATTTTAATATATTCACATGATTTCTATTTAAAATTCAATTTAATGTAAAAGTAAAAAATAAATTATAATCTTTCCTAAATCCAAAGCCAGCTTTGTAAAATTTACTATTAGATCATAATATATCGTCAGTTCTAAATATTTACAATGCAACATTTTATTAATCTACATACAAGCGTACTCCAGCCCCTGCACGCATCCGTTCTTATGCGGCGCGGCTCAAGCCGCGCACGCACGCATTATTTTATACTTTTTGCTTTCTAATAAATATCGTGTCAATGTGTACGTCTAAATGTTTATGTTTTGTGTAAACCGAATCCAATTGAGGTTAGTGACAAGGATAAGGACCCAAGTGCCTGTACGGCTTTTTCGGACCCCTGTGGACCACTACTCTTGAAATCGCTCTACAACTATTGAACATTTATAACTGTTATATAATATATAACGTCATTTGACAATTATTATCATTAATCTACAATCTAACTGTCTTGCTGAGGGGGAGGAGTAAACGCTTCACAAACTAAAATATTTACAACATACAAAATTTAAAACCATCAACACGGTTATAGTTAAGGGGGCAGGGGGGGTCGTTATGAAATTTCTCTCGAAATTGATTTTATAGTTGTTTCTGATAGAGGGGAGTGATATCTACCAGATATTTTTGGTCCCATGGAAAAATTTTGTTCCTAGCAAAAATTATTGCCGGTCAAAGGTCAGCGCTCATGTTTAATTGTATTGCGCGAGCGATTTTCAATCGCGCGCCCTGAAAATCGAGTCTAAAAATCTATCTCCTCCTACATTTTTTGAGCAATCACCTTGAAACTTTTAGGATATGTTCTAAGGACCATTTAGAAACTTTTGCTCGTTTTAGAATTTCGAGATAGGCCTTTAAAAAATTTTTATTCGATTTTGAAAATCTTGGACCTGAAAAAATCGTCAAAAAACGAGGTCCAAGATTTTCAAAATCGAATAAAAAATTTTTAAAGGCCTATCTCGAAATTCTAAAACGAGCAAAAGTTTCTAAATGGTCCTTAGAACATATCCTGAAAGTTTCAAGGTGATTGCTCAAAAAATGTAGGAGGAGATTATTAGACTCGATTTTCAGGGCGCGCGATTGAAAATCGCTCGCGCAATACAATTACACATGAGCGCTGACCTTTGACCGGCAATAATTTCGGCTAGGAACAACATTTTTCCATGGGACCAAAAGTAGCAGATAGATATCACTCCCCTCTATTAGAAACAACTATAAAATCAATTTCGAGAGAAATTTCATAAAGACCCCCCCCTGCCCCCTTAATATCGAGGGCCAATTTGATATACCTCTATTTCGTTGTAATATCTAATATATCTTCACATCTTAATACTATAATGAAATACAATAGGATACATGTTTCGAGAAAGAAAGGTTGGTCCGATTATTAACAAAAGTCCATCAGGGACTCCACGGAGTCGAAAAAGGTACACGGCTGCTGTCTGGTGCTGCTAGGCATTTATTGATCAAGATGTTTTATTGTATTGGTTTTTGATGATTCTATTGTTCGTGACTTATCAAGTTCTAAGTGGGGGTATAAAGTGCTGCTCAAGATACTTCGTCATCTCATGTCCAGTATAATGAATGAGATAGTAAACAATACAGTTTCAGTAGTTGACCCATACAGTTAAGTCCGTCATAACTCACAATTGTTTAATCATCTGTCAATTGATTGAAACATTTGTCTGGTCGTTTCAATTTGTATTGACTAGTGAAGCTGAAGAAGCTGGCTAGTAAGATGGAGTACCACACAGGTCAAAGGTATGCGGATGCTGTGGGATATATTAGGAAGCGCCTTCGGTTTGAAATCTTAAGAACAACAGTGATTTCTCTCCGGGGAGACAGAGGGGCGAGAAAGAACTTTGTCAATATAGACAGTTTAGATTTGAACTTGGAGCCGTAAGGCCAAGGGTGATTTTCAAAACTTTGAGTTGTTGAAGGGTTTAGTTTTTCCTTTTATATAGGGTCATTGTGACATTATGTGTATACTGTTTGAAAAATTTTATTTGTATAAATATATATATTATATATATATCGTCTCGCTTTATATATAGTAAGATGTCCATGTTAATAAATGTAGTTTCTGGAATGTAATTGTCTTCTTTGATTATTTATAATGTATGTTGACTTAAATCTCCCATTTCTGACTAAATGCATCCATCAAAAATTTATCCTGTGAAACACTGTATAGTGCCAAATTTATAATAGATGCACGGCATTCCTGATTCATGATAACATTACTACCGATTTTAACTTCCTCTTGAATTATTTGATTAATCTAACCAGAATACTTTTAAGATGTCATGTCCTCACATTAAAAGCGCAGTAAAGACAGAAGAAGAGGATTTGAGAAGCAAAACTGGAGGATTTCTATGTCCAGCATGTGGTGAACAACTTTTCTATGAGAAGTATTTTATTGAACATGTCAGGGAACGTCATTATCAGCCTGACCTACAAGTACTAGAAAAGGATGAGGAACAAAGTTTGTTTAGTGAATTTACTGGAGGGTTTGTTCATGAAAATGGTTATGTTACGGAACAAGATGGTTGTTGTGTTGTAAATAAATACAATGTTCTTAAATCAGAGTTAAAAACGGAGCAGAGTGAAATTAATGGAGTGTCTGGAGGCTTTCTCTGCTCAGTTTGTGGGAAAAATGTTCTGGAGGAGGATACTTTCATTAAACATATCAGAGATCATGTAGAAAACTCTGGCAAACGAAAAATACCAAAATGTGATGAATTTCAAAATGATAGTGATAATAATAGTGGTCAAGGATCTGGAATTAGGAATAGATCAGACAGTCCTTGCATTCCTCTGGAAAATTGCGATCCTCAAGAAAAGATCCATGCTACTCTTCAATATAACGTAACAATTCACTCCGGAGAGAAATCATTTAAATGTCCAGATTGTTCATATGTAACAGCTCGGAAATCACACCTCAAATATCATCTAAAGACTCACTCTGGAGAGAAACCATTTAAATGTCCAGAATGTTTGTTTGCAACAGCATATCAATCATCACTCAAAATACATATCAAGACTCACTCGGGAGATAAACCATTTAAATGTCCAGATTGTTCGTATGCAACAGCTCGGAAATATACTCTTCTGGATCATTTAAAGACTCACTCGGGAGATAAACCATTTAGATTTCCAGATTGTTCGTATGCAGCAGCTCGGAAATCACATCTCAAAGCACATATGACTACTCACTCGGGAGAGAAACCATTTAAATGTCCAGATTGTTCATATGCAACAGCTAATAAATCACACCTCAAATGTCATCTAAAGACTCACTCTGGAGAGAAAACATTTAAATGTCCAGATTGTTTGTATGCAGCAGCTCGGAAATCACATCTCAAAGCACATATAATGAAGACTCACTCTGGAGAGAAACCATTTAAATGTCCAGATTGTTCATATGCAACAGCTAATAAATCACACCTAAAAGTACATATGAAGACTCACTCAGGAGAGAAACCATTTAAATGTCCAGATTGTTCATATGCAACAGCTCGGAAATATACTCTTCTGGATCATTTAAAGACTCACTCTGGAAAGAAACCATTTAAATGTCCAGATTGTTTGTTTGCAGCAGCTCAGAAATCACGTCTCAAAGCACATATGATTACTCACTCAGGAGAGAAACCATTTAAATGTCCAGATTGTTCATTATATACAACAGCTAAAAAGTCGAATTTACTACGCCACCAGAAAATGCATGCTAGAAGTTTGGAACATTCATATATATGAAGTTGGGAAGAAAACTAACTCTGTGCACGCTGTTTCTGACTTAATTGTAAAAAAAGGATCATTTTATAAGAATTAAGAAATGTTTATTTTGACTGGTAGGTTTTCATTTGCCAATGCACTGCTAAGTGAGGGCTCCCATTTAAAAAATATTTTTATAACAAAAATATAGCAATAGACAGTTTTTGGGTTTTTCCAAATAGTTTCTGATTATTCTGATTTGCGACAAATGATATTGCACTGTTAGGATAAACGACGTTTCAAAGTAACAACTTCTTATTCATGCTGACAAAATTGGTAAATATGTGAGAAAACTGTCTCATAAAATTTATTAATCAAAAATGGCTAAACGACAACAAATTGTTCAAATACTCGACTAAAATTAGAATCAAAATCTATATATATACAACACTACTCGATCTGCTATTCAATAAACTTAAAACATCCACTAAACAGCAAGTACGTGATTGTGATGGTGTGATGGAATGACATGTACAGTGATAACAGATGATTTAAGATGATAACAGATGATAAGGTAAAAGATACAATACATGTGTATACACAATGTGAGTGAAAATATAGTGAGTGGTTACTGATTGTGAGCGAGATGTGAAAAAACATTAAAACTTACTACTGCTAGAAAACTTAAACTGTATGCAATAAAGAGGGAATGAAACTAAAATATCTAAAATTCTTCAGTACTAGCTATGATAAAACGTTTAATAGTATCCAGTTCTTCTCTCTTGTTAATTGTAGGGTTCAGATTAATAATAAACATCGCTTCAAAAATCTTTCTTCTGACAGTATTGGGTTCAATTCTTAAAATATCTACTTCTAAACTGGGATTTAACCCCTCATGACAGCTCGAATAATGTATGGCAAAAGCTTGACTAACATTAGAAGGGGTAGCAGGGTAGGTAGCGTAACGTAAGTGTTCTCCTACACGAGCATGTACTTTCCTACTGGTTTCTCCAACGTACAGCTGGTCACATAATTTACACTTAATCTTATATACAACATTCTTCACTTCACAATCTTTATTACAAACTATCAAAGGACAAATTTTACATGAATTAATACTGCACACACGTTTATCATACGGTCTGTTACTACATAAAATATTTCTCAATTTCGAAGTAGGTTTAAAGTTTACTTTAATAGGTAAATTGTTCTGCTTTACATAATTTCTAATCTTATTGCTAGTACTGTCCGAAATAAAATCTAAATTAAGAACTGTCCTGGAATCATCCTCAACACTCTGACGCCTGTTAGAATTACTACTGTTACAATAACGTCTTGGGTTCTGGTAACCGTTTTTCTGTAATAGATCATCAAGGAGTCTGAGAGAGTGCTCCTTTTCCGCTGGACCAGATGAGATACGGCAAGCCTCGCTATATAGGTTCTTCACTGTATTAATCTTAACAGACTCAGGATGGCAAGAGTTGATGTGCAGGGTAATATCCTTTTGTTGCGGCTTGCGGTACAATCTGCTGGTTAATTTACCGTTTGGCTCGATCCGGACCTCAGTGTTCAGGAAGGGGATAAAATCGTCCTGTTGTTCTGGAAAGTCGACCTCCCACTTCAACTTTTTGTCCGGATCTTGGTCTGCAATCTGTTGAACCAGAGCAAGGGCTTCTTCTTTCGTCTCTGCAGTACTGGCAGCATCATCTATGTAGCGTTTGTAGAAGTTCGATAAGTATACCGATAGGTAGTGTCGATCGGTGTAGATAGAGTTCTTCTCGAACTTGTACACTCTAATGATGGCACAGAAGGGCCCTGGCCTCAAACCCATGAACAGACCATCCTGCTGTAGCCAGAGAGTCCTGTTATACACAAAGAAAGAGTTGGTAAGGATGTGTAGTAGGATCTCATGAATGTCTGTCAGGCTGAGTCCCATCAGGTCCAAACTGTCTCGGTGCTCTGTAGCTAGCTCAATGACATCGTCTATACAGCCCTGTACGTTTATGTTAGTGTATAAAGCTGAAATATCCGCGGCAAAGAACTTTCTCCTGGCAAGCTGTTCCTGAGAGATCTGGCGGAGCATCTCTATGTGCTGGATTAAATTACTCAGGTGACTAGGCACCTCATTAAGGAGAGGTTTAAGAATGGTCGTCACTAGCCAACTGAGTCTCTCTGTAGGTGAGTCCACGCAGCTGATGATGGGTCTAACCTTAACCTGCTCAAGAGGGATCGTCGAGCGGAAGCTCTCCGGAGGGTTCTTGTGGGTCTTGATTTGGACGTACATGACTGGGAGGCTGACATGGTCAGGAACTCTGATCCGTCGCTTGTAGTCGTCGTCAAGGTTCCGCTGTGATGAGATCTTCTTCCACAGGTTATTCGACTCCTTCACCAGGTTCTCCGTCTTCTTCTTGATGAGCTGTGTGAGCTGTTGAGAGGTGGGTTCCGCTACTGAGACAGTTTTACCGTTGATTTTTCTCGTGCAATTAAATATCATTGATCGAACAGTGAGTTTGAGGTCACAATATTGTGGTATGTGTCTTACCTGGGGTCAATTTGTAAAAACACAGTCAATCGAAGGACAAAGATATGACTGATGACGGAGTGACTAAGCTGATCGTTGTTTGCAGTAGTTTTATTTGTAGTCTTCTGTCCTATTATGCAAAACACAATGGTTATTGGTTTATTTTATGGGTACTCAATTCAAGTATTAAACCAAATAGACTACTCAAGTTCGTTATTCCAGTCTGATTTGTGATTGGGCGCATTTAAGCCTGATCAGTAATGTGTTATAATTTGGATAACATTCCTAATGATTTGAAGATGCCAAACCATGCCGCAAGTTCAAAGCCTGATTCATAAAAAGTTCACTTAAATATCTGAGTCAGGTGGAGGCAACGCAGTCAAGATTGGCTCAGGATGGCCGGAACTGGAGGAATTTGTTGGAGCAGCTAACTGTTTCGGATCTCTACTTTTTCCTTTTTTGTTGTGTGGCCACATTTTGAACCCTGTTGCAGGTTGAACTTGACCCGACTCTTCCTCTTCATTATATCTTTCAACGTCCTCGATCATCAATTTGATGTCTTGTTCTGTCAGTCGACCTAGGTTAAACTGTTAACAAATTTAATCGTGAGATTTAATACTAAAACTGTCTTCTTAATCCTTATTATTTATTAATTCTTTCTCGTCCGTTGAAAACGAAATAATAATGTACATTTACTTTACCTTTATCATTCTTGATTGTTATAGATTTCGATTCCCCGGTGCTTCTATTCATGGCAGACACGTTTAAAATTCCATTTGCATCCAAATCAAAGGAAACCTACGGGATTGTTTGATAAACCTATGATGAAAAAGTAAGTATACACATCATTTTGCCCAAAGCTTTAAAAAGGTGATTGGTGAGCAAATTCAACAAAAATCCATGTGTGCAAATTTGTGGAGATAGTGTGAGAAATCGTAACACTGTACATAATTTGTGATGACCTCTTGCGCCCTTGATGGCAAACTCAAATATATAGCTGTTGTGTCTTTGCATAATGAGATAAAATAGGAAAATCGAAAATATCAACCTCTATAGCTGGAACTCCGGCTAGAGCTGGAGCAATACCCTGCAGCTCGAAAGTTCCAAGTAGGTTATTATCTGCTGTCTTAGAACTATCTCCTTCAAATACCTGTATTTACATTTAGTGGTTCTCGGTAATACCCGTATTCGTTTCATGACTAAAAAGTTTAAATACCACTCATACCAGTCTCGTTGTTAGTTTCTGTTTAAAAAGTGCAATTTTGTTCACTATGCAAATATAGTCATTCATACCTGGACATTCACATTATCTTGATAATCGACATAGGTTGTGAAGTGTTTCTTCACATTCATTGGGATTGTTGAATTGCGATGTATAAGAACTGTCATCTGCCCTCCAACCGTCTCAATTCCAAGTGATTGTGAGGTGACATCAAGGAGCAAAACATCTTCTATCTAAGAATTTGGTTTTGGCTCATCCCTAGTATTTCAAGGTATTTCTAATTCATTGATGTGTCATCAACTAATTTACATAATTTAAACAAGTTAAATCAAAGATTTGTAAATGATAGTATTAGAAAAGAAAACGGTTACAGAATGAGCACCTGCTCTGATTTATCTCCAGCAAGAATAGCACCTTGAACAGCAGCTCCATAAGCTATGGCTTCATCCGGGTTTATATCTGTATTTATCTTTGTTCTCTGTTAGTGGGGTTCTGTACAATTTTCTTGCAACGTTTATTAAATAGCTATTTTAGTTCAAGTTTGAATTAGTTAATAGTATTTATAGGCTAATTATAATTTACAATTTTCTTTTAAAAATAATTCTTACTTACTGTTCCCAGAATCCCGGAAAAGTACTCTTCAATGAGGTTCCTTATTTTTGGAATCCTTGTTGAGCCACCCACTAGAACAACTTCATCAATCTGCCGGACTGAAAGCTTAGCATCATCTAATGCTGTACCTATATATTCCAATGTTTTCTTGAAAACTGGAGTTGTGAGGTATTCAAACCTGAGTGAATATAAACATAAATAGTATTTTTGTAAATCGCTAGTAATACTGCCTTTGCCCTTTCAGTATTATCAGGTTCATGAACTAGCAATATAAACCAATTATTATAAAATTGCACTGTTAATTATTTTTGATATAAGTTGATTCAATATTCAGTTCACAAAATTAGTGGTAGCTGTAGGTTTTTAAATACTTATACTCAAGGTATGTTATTGGCTACCTGCCAAAATAACTGTTGCACACGGGTGTTCACACTCCAGTCTGGTGCTGAAATCTAGGCTGTCCACAAGTTTAGAGCTGTAAAAACGAGACGGTTTTGTTTTACTTACTTAGCTCTGCTTAGAGAGGTAGAAAAGTCTATACCATCACACAAGTTTTCTATTGTTATAGTTGTTTGTACTTTTGAGGAGAGTTCTCGTTTTGCTTGTTCCGCTGCTGCTTTCAACCTACAAGTTTTAAAATTGTTCAATCTTCTCATCTTTTATCATAAAAAAGTTTATAATACAAGAAAGCATAACTGTTTAATTTTAGAATGGATTGATTGTTTATTGTAATAACAACACCTTGAAGTAGCTCTACTGTTGTTAGAAACGTTAATGCTGTACTGTTCTTTAAACTCCTTCATCAAATATTCTACTATCAGATTGTCAAAGTCTTCCCCTCCTAAGTGCGTGTCTCCTGCTGTCGACTTAACTTCAAATATCCCTTCATCTGAGGTACAATAACAATGTTCATTACTGCTCATTATGATATACTATACATCTTTTGATCTCATATCTCCAAAATTAGAAACGTAGCAATGATATACTATAGAAGAGCTGCCAATTCTAGGCCATAAGTGTTGCTAAATCTGGGCCGTGCAACTCAATATTTGTGTACACATTTTGTCTCTACATTTTAACATATAGATCCGAATCTAAATGTTTTCCTAACCTATGCTCAGCACCGATACATCGAAAGTTCCTCCGCCAAGATCATAGATCAATATGTTCTTTTCACCTCCGGTATCTTCTAAACCATATGCTATTGCCGCAGCTGTTGGCTCGTTTATTATTCTCATAACCCTTAGCCCTGTTACGTTTAATCGAGTGAGAATAAATAAACTAACGATAATATGTAGATTTTTAAACTGCAGAATTCAAATCAAATTGTGAATATTTGATATTGAATATTTTAATCAACTTTTCATCTCACCACCGACTATAACACAAATCATACCGGCAATAGTGGCGGCGTCTTTAGTCGCCTGGCGTTGAGAGTCGTTAAAGTAAGCAGGCACTGTTACCACAGCTTCGTATACCTTTTGTCCCAGATACGCTTCCGCTGTGTGTTTCATGTACTGTAAAATCATGGCCGAAATTTCCTCGGGTGTAAAGGACTTCTGTTCGCCTTTGTATACCACCTAGGCGTTATTTTGTTATTTAGTATTACTAACGCTAATGCTCTTACGACTTTTTATGACTGAGGCAAATCGTTAAAATTTTTAAAATATTTTTAAAAATATTGAAATAATATGATAACTTATCACGACAAGACAATTATACTATATACAAGTTTAAGATCAATGAATATTACAACCTGTATGACAGGTCTCCCATTTTCGCTTGCCACACCAAAGGGCCAGTGGAACATGTCTTTACTAACGTTGGGATCCCCGTATACCCTGCCTATCAGACGTTTAGAATCGTACACTGTGTTATTAGGATTCCTCACCGCCTGTAGGTACATACACCAGATAGTACGTCATACATTGTACAGGTAGAATAGCGTATTATTCAGTTAAAACCGTGTGTAATTCCGTGTAAAATTGTGTATTATTCAGTTAAAACTGTGCATTATTCAGTTATGTTATACAGATGTGGTGATGCAATAAATGTGAGGTTTTTGTGCGACAATTTATTAATTGCCGGGCAGACAGGTCACAGCGTTTTAATTTGCCGGTAAACTCCGTTACAGTTGACAGTGTTGCACAGCGAAACCAGATAAGTGTTACTACAAGCTGCCTTTAAAGCTTTAATACCTGGTTTTTAGCTGCCTTTAAAGCTTTAATACCTGGTTTTTAGCTGCCTTTAAAGCTTTAATACCTGGTTTTTAGCTGCCTTTAAAGCTTTAATACCTGGTTTTTAGCTGCATTCCCTAACAATCTCTCCGACTCAGTAAATGCAACGTAGGAGGGTGTTATTCTGTAGCCTTGGTCGTTGGCGATTATTTCAACTGCTCCGTACCTGTATATACCCACACAGGAGTAGGTTGTTCCCAGATCTATTCCTATAACTGGGCCTCGTATCCTGGGTTGTTGTGGGGTGTTGGTGTTTTTCTGGCAGAGTAATCACCTTTCTGCTGCTGTATTTTGGGGAGATCCTATTTCGTTGTTCACTAATGATGTATTTCAAACTTTCATGAGTAATTTTAGTGTCTTGTAATAGTTGATTTGAAATATTACAGTATGATTCCTCTAGGTGTATTACTTTGAAGTCAGCATTTTTGTACACGACTGCCGTCTCAATAATTAATCCTGTTCTATTCGGTATTGATTTTAACTTACTCGTTTGAACTTTCTACAGGCTTCTTGACCTTTTTCTTCTTTAAGAACCCCATTTAAAAAGTTTTAAACTCGGTGTAAAGCCGGATATTAAACGTTAGTGTCCAAAAGTGAGAAGAGCAAAACACACTACGTAAGATATATCAAATTGGCAGACAGTTGTGTGAAGATGACTGTCCACTAAGGAACTGTTATAGTGAAAGCTCAGCACGACATTCGCATTAGACGACATATGGTCGTCTAGTTATCCAAACTATTTAATGGATATGAGACTATCATGAGACATATTTAGCAGAAACTTTAGAAAAGTTTTTTGTGGTAGGAGATAATTATGAATCATGATCAATATATAATGCCAGTAAGGATATGGTTCTAAGATATGAGTAGGAAATTGTCTTCCGAACCAACACTATGCAGACAATGTCATGTATACAGATTCGATACAAATTTATTAGACTGGTCTAAATATTATGTGTTACCTTTTTCTAAGTGAGAATTTAAAATATTAAACATTTGATTATTTTAGCTGAAAATGGCTGAAGGAAAAGAAGACATCATACTCTTCATGACAACCATGTCGTCAAGTCTTGAAGTGAGTTCTTTCTAATGATTTAACGTTTTCAACTTTGATCCATGTTGCGGAAACAAACCATTTGAAGACCGCTGAGCGGTTGGCTCTCGTATTACCAACTAAGTAGGTTTACATACATAATGTCATTTATTTGGTGCAGGTACTTATAAATAAATGTGATTACGGTTTCATTAGGTAAAGTTAGTGCTGTCTCCACCAACGTGATTCTTACTATGGAAGAAATAACACATATAATAGCATGAATCGTATACAGAGATCACAATATTTGGAAATTTAACCAGAATATTTGGAAATTTAAAGAATTTACACACTGTAGTCTGTACGGTGTACACCGAACAATAAATCATTCATGATCAAGAATCGAATGATCCAGAAATAAATGCAACTTTTTCTTACCGACGGTATACTTGAAACAAACCACGAAACAAAACAAACCCCAGGTGAAGAAGAAATGTCAGAAGATAGTAACAGTGATGGCAAGTGTCTCCACCACCCACAACTTGATTGAGAAGGACGTTTCCCGGCCAGGAGGGTTAGTTGATATGAGGGACACACTGAAGGATCCTAAAGCACTGCCTCCCCAACTTTACCATGAAAAACTTGGGCCTCTTGGGGTGAGTTTTTAAACATATTATGTTATTTATGTGGAATAATGTGGATTTATTTTCATGCTGCTTGTATTTGAATATCAAATTTCGTTCTTCAACAAAACTTCTATATTAAAGTTGGTTTACATTTCGGTTCTGATAACTGTATGTCAGGTCATACGTACTATAAAATGCGGTCGGAAATCTTGGGTTTAAATTTCGGTAACTTTTAAAAACATACCAACAGCGTATTTTGTGTGAGGTTTTAAAGGATACAAAAGTATCACTCTGAAGCAGTATTTGTTAAAGATACTGCACACTGTACAAACCCTTGAACTTGTGTGGTGTAGCTTCAGACTGATGATGAGTAATGTGTGATGTGTGACTAATGTTCTGACGAACAAAGGAATAAAAACATTAGCTCACACGGGGGCCACAAACTAGGCTCCCCAGTACTCATTATCATGTCACGTGGTTCTGAAACCATGTCACGTGTTCCTGATATATTGTCGGTTGTTTTAATTATACGCGTTTATTGCTATCCGTTGATTCATAGATTGTTGAACTACCGTCATTACGTCATATAAGGAGATCACAGTTTGAGTTTATTTCATGATTTCTCACGTTCACATACCCTAATTTACATGACCACTCAGCTTCTCATTTCAAAATGAGGGAGTGGTATCTATTGTAAACTTATTGTAAACTTGAAAACACATGTTCCTAATGAATTTACAGTAGTGACCCAGTGTCCCAGTGTCAGTAAGTTAACAGGTACAATACCTCTGGTAGAACTACAATATTCTACCTCAGTATTGTAAAGTGTGGGATGCTGATGACAGCCTTGTAGTTGTCATGTGATCTACACGGTCACTTTGTCGTTAGTGTGCAGCAGCGTTGGTTAACTACATGGTGTATGGTAGAGAGTTGGTTCCCTTATCTAGTGAATTATTCAGAGGTTTGAGTATTTAGACCAGTATAAAATAAAACTACTGCGCCAGGTTGCCAGGTTGCCCATGCCAGGAGGTATTAGAATATGTAGTGAATGAGCGCGTGATGGAACTATAACCCAACTTTTAAAACATCAGCAACCTCCCGCATAAATTGTTGGGTATTTAGTTATGCTGCAAAGTTATACACTCCTACATTGTTATATTATTACAATATCAATGTAATTCCACGCATACCTCCTAATTTATATGTGTAAGAGGTAAGATTCTTTGTTATAACGGCAGCATAATGACAGTACAATGAACAATCCAGTCTCTTATAGTCGTGGAGGAAAAGTTTAGATTTTTAAGAAGATTCCTTGCTGCTGTTACAGCCGGCATCTTTTACATTCTATGGAATGTGTAGAATTAAAAGCTATAATGTAAGAACTTAAGCGTACTTAACCAACCACTTCAGACATTATAAGGATATTTGTATTTTATATACTTATAACGGGAAAACGAGTTAATGGTGAGAGCTCAGTTGAGCTACAAACTCAAATTCCTCACGGCTAACCACATATTTGTCTACAAGATATGTCACATGTAATAACTTTACATCTGCTGGAATTGCAGTTTAAAATCACATCTCCCTGTTCATCACAATATTACGAGGCTTTACAATATCACACGTAAAACAGCTCGTACATTATAACATCTCCTCGTCTGTACACGGTCTGCAGTAGTAACAGTTGTCAGGTAATTAAGTAATTAACCAGACAGGGAGGTTGGTAATTATCTAATTAGATGTTGATGAGAGGGACGAGTATTGTGAGAGGAGGGGTTGTGTGTAATTACAGGGAGCGACTCCTATACTACGTGTTTGTATTGTGACAGAATAATTAGTTTTGTTGGGACTGGTGGGGTCTGGTGGGGTCTGGTTGGATCTGTTGGTTTGATAACATTTGTGGATAATGAGGAGGATTGTTTCCTGTCGCGAAGTGTTCGCATATTATACTGTTCAACAGATAAGCCATCTCATAAGAGAATCTAGAAATGTTTTGAATTTAACACAATTATTATACACACGTCAAATAGTAATCAAATATTTTAACTCAATAGGCGGGCTAAATCAAGAAATATTTATCATTATAATGAAATAAAGAATAAGAACTAAAAGTTCCACCGACATGGTTTACCCGATTTATTGGACTATCTCTAGGATACAAAACACCATTCTATGTCCATAAACTGCATATGCTCAAATATCGAACTGCTATCTTCAATCCTCATCAGTAACATTGTCCTCCCTTCTCCAGCAAGATAAGGTCCTGCCCACACTCAATCCTCATCAGTAACATTGTCCTCCCTTCTCCAGCAAGATAAGGTCCTACCCACCCTCAATCCTCATCAGTAACATTGTCCTCACTTCTCCAGCAAGATAAGATCCTACCCACCCTCCCAACGTATCTTCTTCTCAGATCTTCCTTCCTCCAAATCAGTATTACAGGGAACACAGCTGCGTAGAGTAATGGTAATGTGAACTCCATGAACCCTAAAAGTAGGCTCCATACTATGAGAACTACAGGGCTAGGGAAATGATACTTGAATATTATTTTCCACACAAATGCTGCTGCTAGGTATGTGGTATGACAGATGAAGAAGAGGATGGAATTCATCATAATGGTTTTGGAAGCATGTTTTCTCTCTTGTGGTAGCAGGGCAGAACCTCTTCTTAGGTAAACTAATTGTATGATCATGCAGAAAAGGGTGATGAATGGAAGAACTCCGAAAATGACAACTGGTATCATGAGTAATAGGTCAGAAGATGGAAATTGGTGCATGTATTTCTGCTTATCATAGATGCATTGTGCGGTATTCATTTGTTGTTTAATGCATGGAACTATCATTGCGGTGATCATTCCTGGGAACTCAAACTCTTCACACAAGTGAATGTAGGTAAAGCTATCTGTACCTGTAATATTGTATCTCCAATCAGCAATGACAAAAAACACAGTGTCCAAGATATGCAGGAACGTTACCAAAACTATGACAGCAAGTGAGAATCTCTTCAAGAAGCTGGTATTAAGACGCCGGAAGGGGTCCACAACGTGAACTGTCAGAGTGACGGACATGACCAGGTTAAGGAACCTAGACGCAGAGAAACCAGGCAGGGCTGTGCTCATGTAGTAATATAGGCTCTTGTACAGGACACTCTGATCTACTACTCCTCCACTGTAGACCAGAACACTTATCACGGATATCACCAGTAGTGCCTGTGCGGTGAGGAGGTCTGCGAGAGCTATTCCCATGAACAAGGCGGGAACCAACTTGGTCCTGTCCTTGAAGTAGTCCAGGAAGATGATGGTGTTGTGGATGATGACGTGGAGGGCTAGGATAATGTTCAGTGGACTCAGGTCGTATGTTGCTCCTTTTAGGATCAGAACTTGTTCCGTGTCGTTAGTTCCGAATGAGTTCATGTTTTGTGATAACATGTGCTTAACTGTGGTATCAGGTCATTAACTTTTTAAATATGAATCGGATCGAGCGTCATGAAATTAGGCATTTGTAGAAAAGGAAAATCGGATCGAGATAAATATTGAACGGTCATTTTGCGAGACTTTATCACCTTTACAACAACTTGGTTCACGAAAACGTATCTAAAACAATAATTGATAAATGTGAAACTAATGATGTTGGTGTAAAAATAACAAATTACCTCCAAAACCTATCCAAACCCCGACAACTTTTAAATCTTACTCAAATATTTTTGGCAAGAATTAAAAGATAGCTTGGAAAATAAACTGCATATCTGCCTGTTAAAACGATTACAGATTACAGTATCAAGATAGGATTATGATAAACTCTGTTATCTACTGATAAGAAATAAAAGTGATCTGGGTATGTTAAAGGAACCGATTCACTTGGACCATGCAATTCAGTTCCTCACTACTCACCAGCAGATTTGTACCTCCTCTACTAGTACACGCTTCACCGTGTGGTACGTTATTGTGGTATGTGGTACTACCACATTGTGGTAGTTTTGCCAGTAAGATTTCTAAGAACTGAAGACGGTGCATATCGTATTTCTCGGACTTCTGTTAAAGATTTACTCAGATTTTACTTCGGACATTTCGTCTATTTAACAAGCGAGATCTCATGAAGATTCATCTGCATACTTCATATAAGTTTCCTTACTTATCCTCACAGTTATTTGACGGTTGTGAAAAATGTACACCTTCTCCATTAATTATATTTCTATTGGAATAGTGACCGTTTCACCGGGTTTTTAATAAGGAATCTTGAGTGACCGAAATGTTGCACAAATTCATGATTCAGCTGATCAGCTCTTACAATCAATGATTATGATATATTCGTTCGTGACCATAAACTGGTCATCAAAACGAACATTCCAATAATTAGCTCCGAACATTCCAATAATTAGCCGGTAGCTACATGCTCTGTTGGGTAGCGGTATTTACCCTGGACAGCCATGGTGTTGAAAACCAGCTTTGTACACTGCCCAAGTTAAGGGTGTACAGTACATTCTCTCCCTACACAAATCTAATTTACACTCCGCTCAGAGTTTGACTATATATGGCTGCACGTCACGTGGCTGTATATGGCTGCACGTCACGTGACTGTATATGGCTGCGTCACGTGACTTTTATATGCCGCTTTTCTATTAGGTGTTTACGGAGAAATGTCAGTGCTATGGTAATGTCGTTATGAAACGTCTTCTGCAGAATATAACTAATTAGCTATGTTGCTGTGTAATAAGCAGTTCAACAGTCAACACCTTTTAATATAATATGTCATAGTTAACAGGTATGTGTGCTCAAATGTTCATAACCTCAGATATATTAACCTTTTTGAGGTGCCTGAATGGTTGACCTATAGAGTAATCAAATATGCACATATCTGAATATATTTTCCATATTATAGTTGCTACAAGATGGTAAATGGTAATACAGAGTAGCAAATCAATCAGTACAATATATAGAGACCTTCTAATATCTGATATCTTTGGCTTAGTTTAAAGCAACTGCCGCCCCAAGAATTACATTCCAGCTGGAATGAGAAGATATTTAGGGAACGTATTTGGATCGTTTACACGATTTTACTACAAATTAGCTTATTTCACAGTCACCATCCGAATATGTCGTAATTTATTACAAGCATTACAAGCATATAGTAATCAACTTGTTTTGTATAATAATAGCACATTTCTCCAGAAAATAATATTAAAAACTTCAAAACTTGACATGCTGAGTTTGGAACGCCCAATCCGCATTATCTCCATATTTACAATTCAAGTAAATAGTTAATACACTTTTTGTTTTAAAAATTACAATCCCTCTCTCGAACTATATGTTCTTATCATTCCGTGCTGGGCTAAGATCTTTCAGTGTTATTGGACCCAAATGTACAACAATCTACCACACTCACTATTCAGTACAGTGGGTATTTTTTAAATTGGTTTAGAGACAAACTTAGTCTATTTGTTACAATTGGAGAAGCTCAGTTATGGGGGTGATATTTGTGTAATGGGTATAATTCGGTATGAGGGATGGAACTGGTAGCTTTGTTTTCTCGGTTTGGTATCTTAATATAATCTTAATGTTTGTTCTTTATGAAGTTCACATCACACACCTGCGTATAAGTTTCACTTAGTAGTACGTAGTTTTTAAATGTAAATTGTTATTATTATAGAAATATTTTAATATTTCAGAACTACGATTTGTTTGAAAACGCTGTAGAAGACAATCAGCTGAACGACTTCCTAAAAAAGGAGTACACATTCGAGGGATGAGCTAGCTCTTTTACACAGGAGAAATATCGCTACTCTTATTGGGACTGTTAAATACGAGCTGCTCAGCTGCCGCTTAACTCTGTGCTTAGATTCTTGTCACGAATAATGCACGTTCGGGATTTCTTTCCTTTATCTGTCAATTGGAGCAATTATTTTTTCGGTAAGCGATTTTTGAATTGAAGCCGATTTTTCTGGATTGTTTATTTGTACTGTACGGTTTGTTGTCAATCTATTTTTATTTACCTTTGATACGGACATGTATATTTTGTTTATTTTAATGAATTGCTGATGATCTATATTATTTAACTCGAATTTCTGCGTTTAAATTGTACTACTCAATCATGTCTACCCATTACCATTTGCCAAATTTAATTGTCAGGTCAGCACATTACATATTACTTCATGGGTTAATTAGTGATTAGCTAATGTTCATAGCACAGCCGAGCTTTTGATTGTGATAAATAAATGATAGAATAAACATTAAACGCTACTGTAACTAACAGTAGAATCAGTACTACCTGCTGTGTACTGGACATATTGTTCTGCAGGTTTCTTGACTACAATTATTACATAAAAGGGACATGGGTGTAAGTATAATCTTATCAAGGAACTTAATTCACTCCACATGATATTATTATTATGATCTCTGAAGGAAATAGAACACATTTTCTTGCTAGACGGCGCGCGCGGTCGCCGAATCAGTAAAGTGAGTGTGAGTTGAAGTGTTTATTGTAGCTAATGACCACTTATCTCATTAACGAGAACTGCTCGACCGTGCAACTTTTTAATAACCTAGTAGACTGGCAAGCATTTTTATCATCGAACTAAGTTATTAAATTTATGACTAGATTACAGACTAGAGAGTCTATTGCATGATCAGTCATCAGTGCTTATTTTAATACATAATAAGTAATAGGTATCCACAATCCACTATCCAGTACAAAGTAAAGAGGGATCACTTAGCTGAGCACTAAAGCAACTTTCAATTGTGTTGGATTACTTAAAGTTTTACCTGAGGACTTCGGGCTTTGTTGCTACACAAAGACTGGGCGGGGAGAGCATTGAGCAAGACTGACGCTGCTCAGTGCTCGCTGACATTAATTATGAGTTATATCCCTTGTCTTATTTGAGACTCAGGTAGGTTGTCTTTTTTAATGTATTTAGTTGTGACTTGTGTGTACTACGTAGTAAGTGTTCTCACAAAATTATGGACTATTTTAAAGAGCAAACTACATCAAAACTTTAAACAGTACTGTTACGATATCTTAATATTCATGCATCAAAATGTGAAATGAAGTTTCTGAGTCCAATCTTTTCTACAAATGTCTGATGTTCTTATCTACTCCGGCATATATATCGTTATGTGCACATATTTATGTTCCGGCAATCAAATCAGCATCGTAAGAAGTACTAGTACAACTCTGAATACATTCTTTGCTGCTCTGACAATCCACATTCTTGTCTCCAGAGAAGAGTTTGCCGGTCTCCATGTTGACACAGCAGCAGTAAGCACTCTCTGGTATCGACTTTTCGTCAGGATGAATCTTAGACTGTAACCAGAGAAACAGGGTGTCGTTGTAGCACTCCATGAAGTATGTAGGCATATTAGCACCGTACAGCTCGTGTCCTAGTACTATACTCTTGCTCCGTTTGAGAATCCATTCGTTGACAGCGGTGCAGTTTCGGGTTATCTCCTCCGGCCAAGCAATACATCGCCCGAAAGCGAGTCTTGTGATCACAGCTGATCCAGTAGTCTGTATCTTTATCTTGGTAGCATCAGCAGCTCCTCCTTTAGGTCTACCATCCGGGCTGGGCACGTACAGGGTCCTCTCTCTCACTGCTTCTTGTCCCTTTTTACGGAAGGTGATATTCTGGCTCCCTTCCTGCAGCGGCTGTCCGTTGTACAGCCAGTTCATGAGGTGAGCTTGTTGCACTTTCAGGATAACATCAAATATTTCTCCATCTCCACAACTCTCTTCTAGCTGTCCTTCTTGGTATTTCTCGGTTTCTTCGGGGAGTTCTACATTTGGGGCGTAGCTCCTCCACATTCCAGCTCCACAATCTACTTCTACCGAGTAGATCAGGGAGTTATCCTGTTTGTAGTATCCAGCTGAAATTAATATAACGTTTCTTTTGTGCTACTCCACCAAATTAACTATCAAGCACTTGTAATTCATGCTTAACTTTAACTTCAGACACGTTGATTTCAATACCACTTGAATATATGCAAATGCCCTTAATCAAATTAACGTTGATTATAGAAATCATAAGTCATTGCAAAAATCACTTTAAAATCGAACTAAAATTAAAGCGTAAATAACGAGATTCACGCAGTGAATAGAGATGAGGGATGAATGAATAATCAACGGAACTCCAACATTCAGACCTACCAGAAATTGTGGCATCAGAAGGGTCACTGTCAAACTTCCCAAAGATAGTGTAAGTAAGATGCATGTTGTACCGCTGAATTACCAGCTCATTGTTCGCATTTGCCTTGGGTTCTACGTACTTGCTCCAATATTTGTCCAGAGGCTTCTTCTCTAGTCTGTATATGTAGTCCTGAAAATAACAAATGAATTCGATGACAATTAACTGGGTTTGTGAACAGTCGAATGGGGGCAACAAACAATTTAATCTGTTGGTTGATGACGTGACATTATAATTTAGCCAGGATCGGAGCCAGGATGAAAAGGTTTCAAACCATTAATCTTCAAAGTCAATAAATTGTAAAATTGGTTCACAATTTTAACTCGTAAAACGGTGACGTCGCGTGACTTATGCAACATGCAGCATGCAGGAGCAGCATCAGAGGGGAGCGTCATTTTGCGGAAATCATACAATTTGGCAGGTTAAATCAACAAAATATCTAATCCAGAATTTTCAGCTTTCTGACGCAAATTTACGATCGTGCTATAAAAATTTGTAAACTGTACGTAAACACCCCAAAAATTGAAAATAGAGAATGTTACGTTCTAAGGTCTATTAAAGGAGCCCACCTGCACATTATCAAGCTCAATGTCATCCTTACACAAGATAGCATCAGACACTCCCGCCAGCATCCCCAACAAGACCAACAACATCATCATAATTCACGTGACCGCTACACTTGTACAGTGAATAGTGTATAGAACAATAAACAGAGGGAGAGAGTGCAGTAAAGTAATGTAGGTTTAGCTGTACCGTGGACCTGGATCTGACTACGGGAGGGGACAGGACCGCATGCAATCCCGGCAGTCTCTCTCTCTCTCTCTCTCTCTCTCTCTCTTTAACACTATCATAACCTCTTTAAAACGTGTGTGTTAGGATGCAGCTAGCTATAGAGTGGTCTCTTTTAGCTGTGATAATTATTTTACTAATTTAAGCTAATTTCGGCTGACGTATTGTGTTCTTTGATGAGCTCATAGAAGTGGAAGGGTAGTTATCTAAAGAACTGTGCTTTGATTATGTACAACCATGAAAAGTACAAACAAATTATTTGATGAGTAACAGAATCCAGTAGTAAAAAATTAGTTCAAAACAATGATATGTAAGTCATTGTGTTTTTGGAGTTAGCTATTGGGCTATTCATAGAGTGTGGCACACATGGCAGTGCTTCACACTTACAGTGTGAGGCCGTATGTTACATTTAGTTGGACAGTTTCTCACTTCTGGCTCAAATTAGATGATTACAGATCGGTTATCAACATAATCCAGGACGTTTGTAATTTATTTTAATAACGTAAGAAATAAAATTGTCTGGATTTAATAATCAAAGTTATCCCAAATATGTTTATACACAGATAATAAACATGATACAATTTGGCGGAATAGCTTTGATAACACTCGGCTAATTTATTCAAATCACTGCAAGTTTAAATGAAAGTTTAAATGTATGTTAATAATTGGGAAGTTGAAGTGTTAATTGGGATTTATAACAGGGAATTTCTTCAAAACCAGTGTAAGCGACGGATTAATAATCGATTGAATAACCGTAAATTTAAGTACAAAACGATAAATCATTTGTGAAATTCAATTTATTCAACTTTAAAATAAATCTTAACTCCAGGTTCAAATCTCCAAAGAACTGATAAATGTGTGTGGTTTATATATTCTGTATAAACTCTGATCATATATGACATTTGAACATAAAAATCTTAAAAATTTCTCAATATATAAAGTAGCTTATTTTTACAATGTTGATGCATACTCCTTTTTGGACAGAAAACCTTTATTCAGCCAACGAACTTTAAATAAACCGCAGCGGTAACACTTTATTTGTTGTTTGAAATCATTACAGAAATTACAGGGGATGATTTATAACAATTAACAAGGGTGTCTAAATAACTCTAAATGTTAGAATCTTTAGACTACCTTAGTTCCCAAAACTTTGTGCCAAAACTTTGGGCTCGATAAATTTGAGGAACAAAAATTTGGGTGGGAAATTTGGACTTGTTTGGGTAACGAAAATTTGAGCATTCATTTTTTAGAGACACAGTAATTTTGCTCTCTAATTTATGATTTTATATAAAAAATTTACATCCTCTCGCTCACAACACCAGCCTATCCAGCGACCAATATTTGAACTTGAACGAACAGCGTGACGTAGATGTCAGGTGACCAGCACAGCCGCGCACGTGACCCCTTGTCACGCTATACGTCACACTACACTGTGCAGCAGGTGGAAATCTCTCGGTTGGTTGTCAGACTAGTCAGACTTACCTGGGAACCTCAGGCTTTTCTGTTCATAAACAGGCCAAATGACAGGCGGAGCGCCGCCCAGTAATGTCAGACTGGCTATCACAAATTGTTGGGAACTAAGGTGTAAGGTATGATACTTTGTTGCGATCGATTGACGCTGAAGTTTTAAAATGTGTCTGTTTAATCTAAATAAGTAAATACATAATTCGGGTTTACTGCTAGCAAATGAATAGCACGGATATCAAGCATCACTTTCCTGTCCAAACTATAAACTTTAACAAAACATAAAAACAAACTAGTATCTACTTTTCTTTTAATAATTTTACTATAAATTTCAGCATAACATTTACAGTTTTTGCGTTGAATTTTAAATGAAATGTTTTATAAAATGTACTTCTACGTGCCAGTTTAAATTTTTCTGGAAATATTGTTATATAAATGGGGGTTGTATTTCACGAAGATATCATCAAAATTATGACATTCTTCTTCAACTATTTCTCATCAAAATTATGACATTCTTCTCCGCTCAAAGTTTAATTCATGAACAATACTCACAGCAAATATAATTCAGCCTAAAATAAATATACATATTTTTCCGGCGTTGGTAAAGTCATGAGAAACGTATCATTGTTTTTGGTTTTATAACTTCAGCCACCAAGTTCCTCCAAAATGATATCGTTGGACTACAAGTTCCATCTCCGTTTCTCTGTCCGATCATTTAGAAAAAAGCAGAATATTCAGCCTAATTTTTATGTTTGTTCTCTTTATAACCTCAGTATACATCTGGGTTGGAGGTCAGAGTTGCCTTCTCCAGAACTTGCAGCCACCTGAGAAACAATGGTTGTTTAACTGACTTTTCATGTGGTACACAAACATTCCTTCATTCGACATTCCTTGTAAACCTTTAATAACAATCACATCTTACAAGTGCGAATCACAAATATCTGCGTGCGAAACAGCACATTCTAGACAAACATGTTAATAAATCACGATAATATGTAATTATAAGTTTTTAAAAAGGGGCAACAGTGTTTAAATACCTCTTGAGAGAATAAGCAGTTTCACAAGCCACGATAATGGAGAATGTCTTGCTGGATATCTTAAAAGCGTAGTTTGCGGACACGTGGTCTTCGTATTTCGTGTCAGCCACCTGGAGAATGCCGCCCATAATTATCATAAATTAATTAACAGTCACAACAATTAATCATTTATCTAAAAGTAAAAACTCCGAGAACAGGTTGTCAAATGGGATAAATTAGCCTCATTAATTTCACTGACATAATTAGCGATTCCCTAATCCTGTAGTCCATGATATGCTCAGCATATGCAACATACCTGAAGGTGAAGCATGTCAAGGGAGCCAAGTGGCTTGACATCATCGTCCGCCTCGTAGAAGAAGAGTTTAGAGAAGATGAGTTCCAGCCACCTCCTCCTCCATTGGGTACGGTTCTGTGACCTTACATACACGTAACCAGACAGCTGGGATAAGAGTATTTATATTTGGTAGCTAAATTGTATTTATGAGGGTTTTTAGTCAAATAATTAGTTCCTGAAGTATGGTATCTTACTGGGCAGGGAGTGAGGTAAAATAGAAATAACAAATAAGCAGTAAGCACGCACATGGTATTTGTGCCGTGCATGCGCGGCGCACATGTTATCTATCTAACCTGTTCCATGGAGAGCATGTCGTCACCACCGTAGCTGATAAGAGGAGGTTGTATTGTGTACTGAGTCAGCTCCATATCTCTGTGTCTGAGTTAGAGAGGGAGTTAGTTTGTTAGTTTTAGAAAAACTTCTTAAGATGATCTGATTATTTTCAAAAATAGCAAAAATAAACAGCAAAATACAGGACAGACGTAAAAAATGATTCGCGAGCTTTCTCAAATCCAAAATATTAGATGGTCACACTTCTCCTGATAACATATTAAGAAGAATACTGAAAACTACATACCTGACATCTCCTCGAGAATAACAACTCTCGCAGACTCTCTGCATTTCAGACTGTCCGGGTAGTGCCAGTTTCCACGAACTGCACCGCGTACACAACACCTACAATGAGCATTATTATTAGCAGTTTTACTTACAGTATATACTAACACCGCGTACACAACACCTACAATGATTATTATTATTATTAGCAGTTATACTTCACTAACTTTACCGTGGACAAACTTACAAACACCCAAATAAATGCCTAACTTACTTTTAATCTTGTGGGAACAAATATTTTAAATCTAAATCACTCTATCTACTTTAAAGGAGCATACTCAGCCACCACTGATAGCCAGTCACTACTAACACAAAGTGAAAAACACTAAAACCTACCTTGTTACAGAGTTTACAAGTTCTCTAGTCACTACTAACACAAAGTGAAGAGCACTAAAACCTACCTTGTTGCAGAGTTTACAAGTCCTCTGCCGCTTGTCTCTGCCCAGAGTAATCCCACATACCATACACAGTTCCTGTACAGCCTGCTCTGTTCCTGGTGCATTGGTCAGGGTCTGAGGGAGGACGACAATCAGGTCAATTAGGGAGCAGTATATTGAAATTGTGAAGACTTGGATAAAGTATACTATCTATACTATAAAGTATACTATCTGTCTCTACTATTATACTATTACAATTTTATACCATTTGATACAATTTTATTTGAAATTAGCAAACAGATTATTTCTAACTTTCTATTAGAGCCTTAAATTCACTGATTAGTGATTAAATCCTATTGGAATTATCAAAAATAATGTAGAAACTAACAGGAAGGAACTCAGGTTTTCTCCTCTTGCGGTAGATGCTGGTGGTAAACTTGAGGTCGTGGACCCACTTCTCGCTATCTTGTGGGTCCTCAACCTGGAACTCCAAGGTCTGGTTACTGTCTGTTAGTGTGACCAGGAAACCAAACAGGTTATCTTCTCTCGACTCTTCCACCTGGAGAGCGAGGGAGGTGTTAGTGATCCAGAACACAATGGAATGTGTGGGTACAATGTTAAAGCTGGTATGTGTACTAATGTCCGCGCCGCAAATAAAGAGAACCAGTTTCTCTGTTAATTGATACTAGTTTTTGTTGTAATTTGTTACGCTGTTAATTGCGCAATCAGTCAGTTTGTACGTTTGAAAGTAGCAATGTTAATCTACAATTTAGCTAGACCGAGTAGTAGACGTAGATTCTGGAGTACTAATCGTAGAGTAAACCTACAATTACCTCAGCTTCAGAACACAATAGACAGTAGAAAGGTAATTGCAACCTGTGTAAGTGTGTTTTGTGTATTGTGTTAACTATTGTCCATTGTCCAGACAGTTTAACTTGCTGGTAACCCCGTACGGAGTCTGTGTCCCTAAATATAACGATCCTAGCTGACCCTTTTGTAGTCCTTCTTTCTTGTCCTTCATTTAGTTTTTGACACCAGTTTGATGGCTCTGTTCTAGCAGCTGGGTTTGCACAAACTATACCAGGATCTAGTAAGCCTCCGAATAGCTAGGTACATAATTATAATGTCCTATCAGTATCACAAGGTGAATAAATCGTCTAAACTGTTTTGGGGACTCATTTGATGATTCAGTTTAAAGGGCGATGAAATGACAAGAGGAAGTGGTTGTTCTGTAATTTCAAGGTTATGTAGAAGTGTTGGGAGTTATAATACTTCCAAATAAGCAGAAGGTTTTAATTCCTCTGTTTGAGAGTGACGTCAAACGTCGTCACGTAAAACTGCTTCCTTAGAACACCGTTCTAATGGTGAGTTAAAAAAAATAAATATTACAATTTTATCTTTAATGAAGCACAATATTATGTACGTTGACTATCTGATTCGCTGGCCAACTTATTTCCCGCAAAACTTCAGGTAGTATCAAAACTTCCACTGTTCCAGATCATGTAATGAGTTGTTAACGAATACAAATAATTTTGCCCATGTTTTGGGGATTGTGGAAAAAATGTGATATTCCACCGAATATTGGAAAAACAAAAATTGTAAACAAATTATATACCAGAAACTGTTTACATGTTTTTAACAGATAAAAACAGGCTTAAATATCTGATAGGTTTATTGCAGATGAGAACGATACCTTTCACATTCAGCGTAATCCCTTGCATGCTTTGCATGCGTTAGGTTTACCCTAATTTTTACAGGTTTAACAGTTTTCACGTTTTCCATTCCGGAATTTTAATGATGTACGCAATCTAGCAATAATGATGAGGAGGATTTTTTGGGATTTCACAGGTCTGCCACAACTCAACAATCATACCTTTGTGTTATCCGTTTCTAATGGTCCGAGATACATGAAGATAATATAATAAGCTCCTCTAAATTAAAAGCGAGCTATACAAAAATTGGAGTCCGGATATAATTTGGCAAATAATCCTGAGTGGTGAAAATTGAATTAGAGGTGGAGGCAAGGATGGCAATTCGACCAGATGATGTAGTCCGTGCCCGATGTTCTTGATAAGGGCGAGTTATTGATTTTAATTTGTTGCATTGTGACCTGTTTGATTTACTACAGCTGCAGTGGACGCCAGCCAACAGCCTCTAAAATAGTTTCAAAAATTAGAGATCTGGATAAACAGGTGCAAATTAGTTTCTAGCTTGCAAGAGGGCCAATCTCAACTTTCCCTCAAATCTTTCACTGAAATGAAAGATTCGGACAAAAGGAATTTGATACATTAACTGATCCAGATATATAATAGTTGAGCGCTGTTGGTTTCTTTGTGTAATTCAACAATGTTTCAGGTGTGCTTAGATGGCTTTTGGATCCACAATTTTAGTGCACTTTTTCATTGTTTTGACTTGGCGAACTTTGTAACGCACTCATTTCAAGTTTTCACGACAACACAAAACATACCCACGTGACCAGCTCACCTCGATATCCTTGACATGGTACATCCCGAGCACGATAAGCTGCTTGTCCTTGTCTCTGCAACAGAGGAGACAATCTGAGAGCAGGATCAGGGTCCTGATCACTGACCGGCCTGCTGTCACGTGTCTCACCATCCCACGTCTTAGAAACACTCGTCCTGAAAAGCAGGGGTGAGGGAGTTTGTCATCACGTGGGGGCATTTATAAAGGGAGTGGGAGCTTATCCATTATTATTATTACGTATACGTATTTTAAGGAAATTATCTTTCTATTATTTAGAGGACACACTAATAAGCATTGAATAATGAAATGGTTTACAGTTTCCTTCCATAGGGGCATTATTTTATATTCATCTATTTAATATTTTCCTTTGGATGTAGTTCATGTCGATCTTGATTATTAACTAGCATGCCTAAACACAAAAATATCGTATAAAATCTCTTTTTCTGGAACGGATAGTTCGGTAGATCATGGTAGCACCTCACGGCTCACACCTGATCTAGTTTTAACCATTGAACCTTGACGAGCACGATATGAGACAATGGATCTGAGCTCTTAGATATGATGAGTTCCACCACCTGGCTGACAATCTTTGATTTGGGTGCAATTACTTGCGGCTTATGCTTAGCTCTCAGTTACAATTAACTGAGTATCATCCTTGTCACTTCTGGTATTTTTACGTTATCAGGACTCAATTGTTACACCTCTATAAGTTCAACTTTAAGAAGTCACGCTCCTTTTATGTACAGTCAAGTAGCGGTACCATTAAAAAATAAAGCAGCAAATTCTTAACATCGCAATTGTAGTCAAGATGCCGGTACCAAGTAGCTCAAGCAAATGAGGCTTTAAAGTACATTCAACTGGTGTAATGAGGGAGATGTTAAGTGTTAACTAGATGTTAACTAGACAACTATTAATACCTTGGAACGTGCCCATTGTCCACGTTAGGAAGTGATAAGCTGATAAGCTCTCATCTTAAGCAGGCTAAGGTTGTTATAAATAGCAGCAGTCTAAAATGTGGCTTTTGTGATACATTGTTGTTTGTTATTCAGTAGTATAACAGCTAAGTAGTGCTCAGCCAACACTAAGGTCACCAAGATAATTAGTTATATTGAACTACTCATGTGGAAACAGTTCGGAAAACATTGGGAGTCTACCTAACCTTCACTGGTGTTAGCAAGTTATGATGACAATTATTGTTAACACGAGGAAAATTATTAACAGTTAAAGAAATGTACATAGTAATGATCAATAGTTATCTATTATTAGATCTTCTTGCTACTTAATTAGTTGGACGACTTTTTAATGAGAAGGAATAATTATCTAATCTAATTAAAACTTCGTGTCACTAATTATCCGGCTACTGCCCTAATTTGTAGATCTTGCAGTTTTCTACTTTAGGACTCTGTTTATTCAAACATTTGATGTACTTATACGGTCCTGGAGCCTTGTATTAAGGAACCTAACCAGAGGTCCACTGGTGTGGATTTATATTTCACCGGTGCTTAATTAAATGAAAGATAAGAAGATGGGTTTATAATTAATAGATGAACAGCACCGCTGCAGAACTTAGTCTTTAATGAACTTGTAATTTAGCGGTTTCGCTTTCGACTCATTAAATAATTTACCCGTTTACCGTCTTCACTCACGCAAAACCGAATGCATTTATTTAGATCTACTGGCAATAAGTTGTAAAATTGCTGGAATTTTGACTTCTGTCTGGCACAACTGAGAAATAGTTAGTTTCCTTCTTGTTTACCTAGACTTGTGCGTTTTGTGTACTTCGAGTTTAAGTTAGCCCAGAACGCTGATAATATTCGGCAGCACATCACAGTTTCGAGATTTCTAACAAAATCAGGTGAGTTTTCAGACACTGTGTAACTGTGTAAGGCACATTAATTAATAATGTACCTTACTACCTTACACATGAACAGGGTATTTTAAAGTTAAACATAGATCTGGATAAGTTGAGGGGTATGCAAATAACCCAGAACTCACCTAAAACAGGTATCTCCTTGATCCCCAACAGCTCGGTCTCCAGGGTCTGCAAAACAGTGAAGTTCATTATCTTGGGTAGCTCCTGGGTGAGGGGCGGCGTGTTGGCGTTTATCTCGTGGAACACTTCTGAAAACAATGCGGCTTGAGAATTTGTTACAGTTTTATTTGATAGTCTATTCTCTAAAGCAAATAATCAAACATCGCCTCTGTATCTACCAACATGGTGTTAATCCAAAAGTAGTCTCATGTATTGTAAAACTGACTGTGAGCAGTCCTGACCGATTATGATACCTTTCAAAATGCCATATACATTATACAATATACATTATACAAGACCTCGGTAAATCTACAAAACCTATTTCATGCGGGTTATCAAATGGTATTGTCTTATTAAATCTAGTACAAGCCTTGCGTATTGCTATGGAACAACTCTAATTTTGCTTCTCAAACATTCTGATCAATAGCATTTTATGACAGGCAATCGTGCAACTGGCCCACCCATCTGGATGAAGGGGCGTTATTATACTCACCCTGTAACATCGGGTAATAAGTTTCAGGGGCTCGGTATACTGAAAATTTTAGTAGTAAATTGTTTAGTCTCGTGGCTCTTGCACGGACTGTTTCAACTATTTGAGACGTAAGTGGTTTACCAGTACGGAAATTTGATGATTACTACTCTTAATTGCAGCTCATTCCCTAGACTTTACCACTGACCAACCTTTTGCCTAATGAACTTAAATGAAGTTAATTGACCGCGATCAGAGATAAAGATAACATCTTTTGGTTTAAAGCACGATAATATGGTCCACCCTTGGAACAATACATTTCCATTGATTCCCCATCTATTTGCGAGATGACGTCGGTACGCACTTACTTGAACTAAGAGGGCGTGTAATGTGTAGGTTATCTAAAACGTGGCGCTAGAATTAAGTAATCTCACCGAGATATCATCGTGCCGTCAAACCATAAACTCATAAACTGAGTATTCTAAAGTAGGTAGTGCGGAAGCCGATTGAAAGATCGCACCAATCGATCAATCATGTTAGGGATCAGGAAAGTTTTTAAAGGAAGAGCAATCTTGCTACTTATTAAGACGTGAAAACATGCCTTGAGAAAGGTTTAGTGCAGATTGAGATAGGATTCATGTCAGCATGTTCACAAAAAATGTGGATGTGCAGTTAGAATTGCTCTTGTTATGTGCAGGCAACAAGGTTACCAGGTTGAGGTTTTTCTATCCATGCGTGAAAATATTTGTCAACTAAAAATTCTCATCAAATATTTCACAAAGGCTTCATGGCCTAGAACGCTAAATTTGGCAGTTTATTTTTCAAATTTCCACGCTAACTTTCGGTTGTTGAAAGGTTGTTGAAAAGTTGTCCGTTTTTCACCTGCCTAATGAACTTAAAATTTAATTGACCTCAATGAGAGATAAAGATAACATCTCCCAGATTTGGTTTAAAGCACAATAATATGGTCAACCCTTGAAACAATAGGTACATTTCCATTCAGAAAGACTTCATGGCTTGGGGACGAAAAATTTGGCAGTTTATTTTTCAAATTTTCACGTTTACTTTCAGTTGTTGAAAGGTTGTCGAAAAGTTGTTTATATTTCAGCGTCTCAAAAAAATTGTATTTATGTCCAAATAAAATTTCTATATAGTACGTAATACTAATACTAACGTTGCAGCATTTGGACCATTATAAATTCTAAGCTGACCGGCCGTATGCGCGTTATCATTAACAAAAAGTCTCGACTCTTTATCCTTCAATCGGTTCAAGCTTGTAAAATTCAGCTAAGGAGCTTTGTTATAACGTTAATAGTGATATTCAGTTATTTCATCAGTCAGCACTTCAGTCGTTAAAGTAACCGCCCTTTTGCTGATAGAAAACTATGCACTTCTTTGAGGTATATTACGAAACATCCACCTGGCGTCAAGGTTAAAAATATCGCCTGATCAGAGATAATTGACTTGAAATAATTGATTTGCAACCTTTTAAAATGTCCGGTCCCGCTGGCATTATCAGCTCTTTAGTTTTTTAAAGTTTAAAACTCACCGTTAAAATCAGGGTAGCTAGGATCGTTTTCAGCGATACAGCCGATGAGTCTATCAACGAGCTCCTGATACTGTTTAATCCTCAGGACAGGGTAGAGTAACAAATTGGGGATACTGACAATACTGCTCGATCTACCTGTGCGGGGGTGGGTTAGTGACAATACTGCTCGATCTACCTGTGCGGGGTGGGTTAGTGACAATACTGCTCGATCTACCTGTGCGGGGGTGGGTTAGTGACAATACTGCTCGATCTACCTGTACGGGGGGTGGGTTAGTGACAATACTGCTCGATCTACCTGTGCGGGGGTGGGTTAGTGACAATACTGCTCGATCTACCTGTACGGGGGGTGGGTTAGTGACAATACTGCTCGATCTACCTGTGCGGGGGTGGGTTAGTGACAATACTGCTTGATCTACCTGTACGGGGGTGGGTTAGTGACAATACTGCTCGATCTACCTGTACGGGGGGTGGGTTAGTGACAATACTGCTCGATATACCTGTACGGGGGGTGGGTTAGTGACAATACTGCTCGATCTACCTGTGCGGGGGTGGGTTAGTGACAATACTGCTCGATCTACCTGTACGAGGGGGTGGGTTAGTGACAATACTGCTCGATCTACCTGTACGGGGGGTGGGTTAGTGACAATACTGCTCGATCTACCTGTACGGGGGTGGGTTAGTAGTACAGTATTTACAAACATTTCATGTTTTAATGTACATTTTCTGATGATGACTATCATCATTAAATATGAAGATAGCTGCCTCCTTCCCAACATTTAAGGATACTGCCGTTCAACTTCATTGCCGAGTTACGATAAAATGTGGCAAATTTTCCTTCTTCACGTTCTGTTGGTTCCTTCCCGTGGCATAAATAACTAATAACATTGTCACAAGCATTTGTTTTTATTCACAAAGAGAGCCGACAAAGTCGCTCAGTCTGCTCTATGTCAAGGCAAATTGAAAAAACCAATTATCTTTTTTTGTTAAACTTCTTGTTGTAAAAACTTAAAACAACAAAAGTTTGTTGTGTCAAGTTTCTATATCCAATTGTAACTAGAGCTAGAGTCATTGTGGACATGTTTCTTGAAATTTCATTTGTCTTCAGTTATCTATTGTCTATATTCATTCGAGAAACAAATTTAAGGCTGTTCAGGTTTATCCTCAACATAACTCATTTCACTAACAGAGTTTGTGGAGCTTTCAAAAATATTTTCAGCACTGAATCATTTGTAAAGTTACTTTAGGTTTAGCTTACCCTCGAACATTATGACATGTTTAGAGAAAACTGCTTCTTCTTGCAAACACGCGTTGAACCGTTCCATCGTCAGATTGTAATCATTGATGTAGTCAGTGTATAGCTGAACATAAGATTATTTAGTTATTGTTGTAGTCAGTGTATAGCTGAACATAAGATTATTTAGTTATTGATGTCGTCAGGACTCAGGATATAATCGTAAACACAAAATCAAATTGCTGAAACTCTCTGGTGCTAGTCACTCTGTAATGGTTTGCTATATACATTTTTCATTCAAAGTTCACACGCATAAAAGTTAAAGTACCGTAAAGAGACAGAGGTTTCTAGCGAGCACATCCGAGATGTTAAGAGTTCGTGTCTCGTTAGTCCAGGCCACCAGTCTGTCTTCAAGTTGCCGCAGGAACTTTTGGTGCATCTCGTAGAGGTTGCTTAACAGTAACATTTGGGCGTTGTTAAACGGGCCTGAAAGGAACCGTGATGTTAGATGATCTTTTGTTTATCAGACCCGCCACAGTCTGCAATTTCACATCAGTTTAATTGCAGCTTGGGGTATAATTTCAGACAATTTAAATGGTACCTAGCAGCTATGTGTTGTGATTATGAACTATGAAGGAGTCACAATAAGCCACCACGTGAAACGTGAGTGCTTCAGTAGCTCCGGCCACAAGGTAGAGCTACAGCTGCCGTCATGGTTCCAGTTAAATGCTTATAGGATACTATTTATGATATGAATTGATCGTACCGTCGCGTAATAAACATGAATTTAGCCATGTCCATAACCTTTGTTGTTCATCTGACCTCTATGATCTAGGAGTTCTCCAAAGCTCCATCTTTAATAGGAATGGTAAGATGCATGCTCTTGTATACGATACAAAATAGATCTCATTCTGGCTCTATAAAATAGTATAATTTTAAGGAAATTACTATTTGGCGTAATTTAACTCCCCAGACAATTAAAAAAATCAGCCAAACAACTTAGTGGTAGGTTTTCTGGCCAGCTGTAAATATAAACCAATCAAATATCCAACTTTCTATTGGTAGAAAAGCAAGCACCGAGTTCCTTCTGGTGCAGCAGTATCTAACAAAGCTAGCCCCCGCCCAGCTGGGATCATGGTTAGCTGATCTGTTCTTGTTGGTTGCGCTCTGAGGAAATGTTACCGGTGGCCCGGAGAGCATTTTCAACGGTTATTGCGCCCATATGTTGATAATAGCAGGATAGTTATGAATACTTGTATGATACATATAAATAGTTAGATCAGTGCGCAGTGCGCACTGTATAGGACTCTATATAGGACTCTATATAGGACTCTATATAGGACTCTATATGACTCTACAATAGGACTCTATCATATACCACTCAGTCTGCCCGGGCTGTGAGTTTTAAGAAATTATAATCCGATTGGTCCCTTGATGCAGTTCACTAAGTTAGTCAAAATAGTTTAGCCCTGATATAGACCACAGCTGTTGCTTCATTCCTTTAATGACGTATGAGGGGCTCTCACGCTCTGATATTTGTTGCTCAGTAGCTACTGAGTCAGTAGCTTATTAATGTGATTTTCATGATTTGTAGTGAAATGTGAACCCAACCAAGTGAATTGTTTGCGTTGGATTTGAAGTTTTGTTGTATACTTTAATTTTACTTCACAAGCTTATCCTTTTAAATTATAACATGGCATTTTTTAAGAACTTAAAAAACTCTTTGATAATTTCAGCCAGGTGTTTTAATTCCAGGCACTAGAGTAGATAATTGATTCGATTGGAATTTCACCAACTATTTCGCAATCGTTGAGTTATAAGTCAGAAATAGTCAGCTCTAGAGATAGTAGAATATGAAATACGTACCGTATTATACGTACCGTTAGAGGTAAAGTAAAATAAGAAATACGTACCGTTAGAGGTAAAGTAGAATAAGAAATAGGTACCGTTAGAGGTAAAGTAAAATAAGAAATACGTACCGTTAGGTATAGTTATTTCTCTGAGGAATGTATTGAGCACACCCAATATTTTAACATATGTCTTCTCCGTGTACACGAACTCTTGAGAAACCGCGTGTAGTCGACTGTAACCCGCCTTCCTGTGAAAGAGTAGTATGAAATGGTAGATGTGTAATGTGTACCATGAAATGGGAAGTATCAAGTATCTAAGACTTAGAGGCACAACAAAACATGTTGGTCAGGTGGTAGGTTACAAAAAAAGTTCTCCAATATTGTTTTATTTCAACTTTATGCTATCTTCTAGAATAATCATATCTTTCGTCTTTGTTGAAGTTTGATAGGCTTAACAAAATTCTTCAGCCATCGCCCCTCACATTTTGGAAATGTGTTTAATATTTTATCTACCACTGCCATCCAGTTCTTACTTTCTTTTGTAAACCTACCACAGCTTTCAGTGCAAACATCACAAATTAAAAGGTTGACAGTCGACTAACTATTAATATAACAAAGAATAATAAAATAAGTACAGTTAAATAAGTACAGTTACCTAAGAATAATAAGCTAATAATAGTTATAAAGTAACGTACGAATAGCGAGACAAGTAGTTAGCGAAGCCAGTATCAGGCATGCTCTTGCCCACGTCTAGTATCAGATCAAGTGGGATGGTGATGGGTGTCTCGTAATCATCCACCGTCTCGCTGGACAGAGAACCTCTGCTGGACGTTCTGGATGGTACACCTGTTGAAACACAAGGATTTATTTTCTTGTAGTATGTTAATCACAGTATGTTAATATTGCCTATGTGAAGCTCTGTTTGGGGGGGGGGGGGGGGGGGGGGGGCTATTTTCTTATTTTGTATGCGGGAAAATTTAAAAACTTGTACACCTATACCATTTAATATCTTGGGAGTAATTTCATGATTTAATCAAAGTAAATTTTCGAACGTGGGACCTCCGCCATAGATTCAGGAATCAGGCATCTAGGACCTAGGTGGCACGGTTTTAGAATCATTATGCATGGTATCTAATTGTGCAGTGTATCATGTTTGCTACCACCAGGTCACCAGGTGTTCGTTCAAAAGCTTTCTAAGTGGTAATTTCGGAATTTTCAGATTCGGCATTGGGGTGGAATTACATGATCACCACATCTGTTACCGACCCCCTACCTTGTATCAAGTAGAGGCTAATTGAATAGCATTCCTGTTTGAGCCCTGATGCAGTTTAATCTCAACATATTTAAGGTATTGAATGTACTGAATGTATTGAATGTATGAAGGAATTCATCTTCTTTATCAGTCACTATTCAAAATGAAACGCTCTGAGCGGTTGCCATAAATTAAGTTTGAATGCCTTCGTTTTGTATCCCATGTGTCAAAGCTCTGAGACACGTTTTGTAGGCAAGTAGACAACAGACGATAGACTCGAGTCTCGAATGTCGATAGCAAGATTTGTGTATTAATATTTACCATGAAGCCAACACATGTAAACGCCAAATCCCAAGGGACGCACTATGATCGGTTATCTTGATAACAAACACTGGACTAAGCACAAAGTTTGACACGTGCTCTGGTCTCTGTCACGTGTCATGTCACGTGTCATGACACGTGAAATATTGTCGCTCTGGAGGTTTCAGACTTGCAACAAGTAACAACTCATCAACCTATTGTCATGTTTAAGTCAGCAATGATCTCTCAGTTTGAATCAATACCGGTGTCAACATATCATTTCCACTCTCTATTTCATCAACAGCTGTTTCAAGTTTGCAAACGACTCAAGTACACCGAGTTCAGAACATAGTTCGTTAGTTCAACAGTACTGGTGTTTTTGAGAATATTTCAGTCGACAGGCGAACACCTGCTTCATAATTTAAGTGGTTTTGCAGTTACCAGAGGATTGAAGAGGGCGCAGTCTCTATGATTTGAGATTTCTAGCCAATTTGGGGGGGGGGGGGGGGGGGGGGGGGGGGGGGGGGGGGGGGGGGGGGGGGGGGGGGGGGGCAACCATATTAAAGTATATTAAAATGTAGGATTTTTCCCGATTTTGACCCGGGGATATACTTTAATATACTTTAATATACCTACAATATACTTTAATATATCCCTATCTCCTTGGAGGCCTACATCAAAAATTGTTGCCCAAAAAAGTTTGAAATGCAATTCTTAATCGATTCCAAAAAGTTCTTGAAAAAATATTGAAAACTGATGGAGTTATTTCAATTTTAATGAAGTCATTTTGGCTAGTATTCCGACCCGAGATATTATGTGCAATTTTCCCAATTTTGTTGATGGAGGTCTTTTTATTTAGTATCCACTATATTCAACAAACACTGAGTTATATCTTTCACATAGAGTTAGTCTTATTAAAAAATATTGAAATTTTATCGAATTTGGGCAAAAGCGAATTTGGGCAGAAGCGTATGCCCAAATATGGGCATATTTTTTTAAGCTCATAGCTCAGCCAATTTTGACCAATCTGGATGGAAATTCATGTACTAGTCCTAAAACAGGCTTATCTTGCGAATCTGAGTGAAAAATATAGTTCATCATGTAAATCTTAACGGAGAATATAAATCTTCTAATTGTAGGTATATTAAAGTATATTAAAATGTAGGATTTTTTCCCGATTTTGACCCGGGGATATACTTTAATATACTTTAATATGGTTGCCCCCCCCCCCCCCCCCCCCCCCCCCAATTTCTTTTAAAATCGAATAACATTCCTCAGAATAGTGTCGCTATTTACCGTAGCGTTTCATAACGCCATCATGGCAAATGTTGCTGATTCATGACATCATCTTAAGGTCAATCTCCATATCATCTCTACAAGAATTTTGCTGAGGTTATACCACGTACGATCAACAAAGTAGTAGTCGTACCAGTACAATCGACGTTACCATTTAAATCAATTATTTCAAGTGGAAAATATAAACGTAAAATTGTATCCGAGAGCGGAGAATGGCGTACGTGACCGTTCGGTTTTTATTTTATGTGTGCATTCTGCAGTATGTTTCTGGTTTGTTTGTAATTGTATTTTATTCCGTATTTTATTTTTCGCAATGTGTAATGTCACGTACTATTGTATCGGGTACCAAACTTTATTAATTGTCATTCAGTTTAATCTTAGTAATCATTTGTATCTAGCATTCACTAATAAATTCCAAACTTCTAAAGCTTACAAAGGTAGGGAAAAATAATCCTATTATAGACTATAGTAAGCTTCTAAATCTAAAAGCTTTAATAACAATCTATCAAGTTACCATCTCTCAAACCAGACATGACGGGTAACCTTACAGTCCCTCCCGGACACAGCCCTGTGACTGAACCACTCAACTTCACCTGGAGCACTACCTGGGACTACCTCTTGGGGGTGGTTCTGGTGTCCTGTACCCTCGTTGGTACTCCAGCTAATATCATGGCTATCAGGTCAGTCTAATATGGGACTTCTTACTAAACTCAATCTATTGAGTTTCTTTTCTGCATTGATTCACCGAGAAACCCCAATGAACATGTATAAAATAACCCTATGATAATGATTGTCAGGTACTTCGTGATGCAGTACGGGAAGGTGCTAGGTCGGTCCAACAAACGTTTCTTTAACGGAATTTACGTACTGATAACCTTAAACGATCTGCTCGTCTCGCTCACTCTCTTTCCTGTTGCTACTTCTCTCTTCACTAACAGAGAAAAGGTATACACACTCGTTTTTAATATTTTGAGTAGGTAAGTATGAGTTGATTTTGAATTTTATCAATTTAAGATTTTGTGTACGTAATTGAATTGACACATGTTGCATTTTCATTTTCAAGTGCGCCGGCAAGCTGGTGGCTGGTCAGAAAAGTCTTAAAAAATCTGACGTGAACACCATCAATCCAACATTATGTATTGCGATTAGCTAAAATTGTTCTTATTCCTCCAGGTAATGTTTGGATCTCACGAGTTTTGTGCAATATGGGCTGTTTTCTGGGAGATCATTCCGTTCTACTCTGTCTTCCTGGTAGGGTTCCTCAGCTTTAGCCGCCTAATCACTCTCCTAAAACCCAACACAACCTTCCCCCTGTACGTCATACCCCTCTCCACTATTCTCTTTATCGTGATCCTGGTGGGTTGTAAAGGTGGAGCAATAGGTGTCCACTACCTGGACCACTCCCACACTCATCCTGACTCAGGACACCAGATATTCTCCTACAACAAACACTCGGTTTATTGCTTCCTCTTCGCACGAGGTTTTGATGACCAACATGCCTGGGTGATATACTCGATATCGTCCACAGTGTTCATGGCAGGTCCCATCCCATTGATCCTAACTAGCTGTTTGGCGTCCCTTTACAAGATACGCCAGGCAACCTTGCGAGCTAAAACTCTTTCTTCCAGCATCAAGATGCAGCGTCAAGCTAGCATCACCATAGTCATAGTAACCCTCACCTACCTTCTCTACAATGTGCCTGTGTTCCTAAACTACATTGCCTACACCATTGCTTCATTCCACGCCGAACTTGATTACAGACAGATGTACGGTTCGAGCTCACCTCTCTACTACTACGCTTGGGTCATCACCTACGTTGTATGTGTAGCCCTCAACTCTCTCACCAACCCCATCATTTATTTCTACAGAATGACCGGTTTCAGGAAGTACCTAATGAAGGTCGCAGGAGTGAAGGTTTCGTCAAAGGATCTAACTTATTCGAACAGTAACATTTATAATTCTTCTTTTAAAAAAGATTCGGTAAAGTCAAACAATCTCTGAAGGTTTGACCATGTAGTTTTAGATAGAAATATCGGTGATGGAGACGGAATATGGTCACGAAATACGTCCAATGTGTAGATAAGATCTTTAAATTGTCCAATCTTGATAATATGGTAGTATGATGTTATTATTAAGTAAGTATTGAAGCCACGTGTCAGTATGTACTTATTAAGACAGAGTGGAAGATCATTTCGTATTTTAATATTATTTTCCTTCATTATTCCATGAAGGTTTGAGATCAACTCATTTCCAACATATTGAATACTAGCAACCCTTTAGTTGAAATCTTTACTTGATTTCGAGAAAATTTAAAATCATTTATGTTCTAATTCCACTTCATCCAAAGTTATGACTATTATAAGTAATCATATCATGAGCGTAAATGTGAGCTAGATATAATATGACACAAACGCAATAACCACGGTGTCATTAAAGCATTACTTTTTATTCACTAGCCTTATCGAAGCCTAGTTAGTAGTGATTTACAATCCCGACCCGGTGACATGTCACAAGCTATCAGGTATCACATAGCAATAACAAGTCTCACGTGCAATGTTCAGTTGTTTTAGGATATGGATTGGTATGACGTAGGTATTAACTTGACGTGAGGATGCTACGTTGTACCTTGCAATCATGTCACAGAAGATGGCATATAAGAAGAGCTCCATAGCATAGGGAAATAGCATCGTGAGTGATGGTTCACACTCCACGATCTTTCAAGTATGCCAGCCATGTTGAGATCATGTGACGTTTTCAACAATAATAAAAACAAATATTTTATTTTATACCCAAAGTCAATACAAATAATAATATTAAGTTTGATTACTCATAGTCAATATTGGTGACACGACATCTGTCCGACAGCGACATCTGTCCGACAGCACTATTTTCGTGTGTTTGAAGTGATATCTCAATTTTTTTCTTTTTTTTTTCTTTCTTTTTTTTTCTTTTTTTTTTTTTTCTTAAAAAATAAAAAATTTATATCTCAAATTTGGCACATAGAAATTTATCCAAACTTGCACAGATTATTTGTCTTAAAGCTATCTTACTATCTAGAAAGTTTCAAGAAAATCGTATCGTTGAATCTCCAGATATATGCTTTGGAACCACTGAAAACCACCGAATTGGATATATTCTGTGTGTATAAGGTAATATCTTGAACTTGGCACATAGAAACTCGCTCAAACTTACACAGATTATTCGTCCTATAACCACCATACTTTATAGAAAGTTTTTAAAAAATCGTACGGTAGGATCCGACATAAACTGTTGTCCAAATAACCTATTTTCTGAGTCAGACAGATGTCGCTGTCGGACAGATGTCGCCCAATCGTCAATATTGTACCATTTCACAGAAGTGGTGCTTTTGCGCTCCATGCTTCCATGATAAATTTATCCAATTTTATCGACAAATGGATCAATATCCTGCCCAAGCTTAAGATTAGTTTTATTCCTTAATTTCATATTGAATAACTACTCCATTATTCCTGCGCTTTTGTTTCTTCTTTAACTGTTTTCTTTCCTTTCGAGTTTCAGTTAGGTCCTCACTTTTCATTTCTTTCGTGGACTTTGGTTTTTTGTCATTGTTCTCGTTCTCTTTTGTTCTGTCTACCTTCAGCTTACAAATAAAATGTTCGTCTTCAAAAATTATGACGTAATCTTTGAATTTCATCCGAACACATTCCTCACACTTTTTAAGGAATTTTCCAAAAAACACGAGGTGTCTGCCTTTACCCATTTCCCGCGTGGTCTCGAGATCCAGGGGAACCTTTCTTCCGCACATAGTTGCACTGAAGTCAGAACGCTTTGGCATCACATCATTTGACTTAGGAAAATCTTTAAAATATTCGTATATCCTTCCGAGCTTGACGTATCTTGCATTGAATGTGATGTAAAACTTTGTTAATCCAACGTGTATTTCGATGTTGTAGAATTGCAGAAAAGGAGGGTCATTGTTGTGGCAAAAGACAGCAGCGGCTTGGTTTCTGGAACAGGGCACATGAGTTTCAGTCAGTAGTTCGGAGCATATGTCACCAATTGAAATACTATCGGTCGCGTTTAGCATTTGTGTGTCTAGGGTGGTATTTGTAGAATGTTTGCCTAGGTCGTTATGTGCATGCCCAGGATGGTGTGTGATACTAGCTGCACGGAAACAGTGGAACCGCCAGGAATCGTAGTGAACAATTCCGTTTTGACGAATTCTCAAGTCTGATCCAGTCTGATCCTTCCCATTCAATATATCCCTAAAAGCAAGTTGGCGACTTATTAAACTTATAGAGGTTCTACGACCAGTTTCATACCCGTGCAATCGACATAGAGCAATGGCGGTGCGATCATCAAATTCGTCATCGCATATGGGATGCCAATCGCTACTGATCAACGTGAGGGCACCCCGCTCGTCACGTTGTTTCAAATGCATCCGAAGATTTTCTAGCTTTGTAGTTCGTGACTTGGATAGTTTTAACTTTAAATCGTCGTCTGCTTTCATGTATAAAGTGTAGGGTGTTAAAGGAGGTTGTAATGTCTCTGCGTCTCTGTTTGCCCCTGAAACTTTGCTGGGGACACTCCTTTGACAATCGCAGGACTCATCATATTGAAGAGAATATGTGAACTTAAACGTATTTGGGTAACGCTTTCCTTGGTTACTAAGACGAGGACGACTATCCACACCATTAAAATCTTCAACGTTTGTTCCCTCAGTCTCATTATCCACTGCCTCTTTCCATCTGGACGGCTTTTCCTGCCTTTTGTTTCCTTCTATGTTCACGGACAGAAAAATCAATAAAAGCACTGAAATTAATGTCCAGTATGTACCTCGAAACATCCCACTATCTGAGTTCGAGAATATTCTGATACACCAATCGTCCGAAGTGCAACATAAGTATCTAGCAAAGGAACCAAACTAGTTAAAATTTAAATTCAACTTGAGCTCGATCCTAATCGAAGGGTGTGGACAACAAGCAACGAATTATTTTCCATCAGGATATCGGGCTTGTTCTCAAGCAAACATGGCTACCAGATCAAATGACTTTGACTAAAAGCTCGTGTCATAAAGATTTTCATTTCAATGAGATGAAAATATTTAAAATCCACAAATGGACCTGAATGGAGGGATTAGTCAGTAGACTTGTAACTTTAGATAATGAATAAGGCCGTAAGTACCTGAAACAAATGTCGCTCCAAATAAAAAACTGATTTCGAAAACTGAACATCGAAAGGAACCTTTGAAATCTTATCAACAGCTATGAGGTGAAACTATCACCAGAAGTGGCGAAATGTTCCTATGTGCCACCCCCGCTAATGTTTTTGCCCCCACCACCCCTTCCCTCCACTGGAAATTTATTTTGTATCCTAAAAAATAAAAAATAGCAACATCATTAATAATGATATTATTTATCACAAAGCATAAGCACGGGCCCAAACAGGCATGACAAAAAGGAATGTAAGCATGATCCGAGCATGTATCGTTCATTTCTCTTTTCATCTATACGGATAATACCCTCGACGATGGAAACTCGATGGTAACTCTAAAGCGGCTTACAAACAACTTAAAAGAACTTACTAGCCAAGGTGGAGATTTTAGTCAAAGAGGACGTGTTAGCAATGTTGCAATTAATCTGCAATAACGCAGGAGAAATTCCGTTCCTGAAAATATTAGAAACATGATATTTGCGACACATCAAACCTGAAATTTATTCGCCCACATCCAGAAAGCTTAAAATTGTATCACAGTTCCAAACTTTTTATTTCCTGTTGGTCGCTAGCTTCGCTCGCAAATTTTTCGACTTCCTTCCCAGTTCCCCTCCCCTCCCCAGTTCGAAATTCAGGTAAATTTTCTTTATATTTCCTCTATGGCATCAAACATTTCTTTCCGAACAAATATTTCCTCCGGGTCAAACTTCCAGAATCCCGTGTTTTTGGAATTTTAGTGTGGGCTTATCTGTACCATCTTTAAAATGACTCACGTTTGGGGAGGTAACTGTGGGGAGGCAAGTTGAGGCTCCTGATGTCTGTCCACAGAGTGTTGACGATCTGGAGAGGAGGGTTGATGTTCGGGGGCTGGTCTCCGGTCGGGAGAGTGTCGTCGCAACTCAGGGGAAGATGTCACCAGTTGCTCCTTGTTTAGCTCCTGGCTTATTTGTTGGAAAAGTGCAACAAACTCCTCTTTGCTGTGCGGCTCCAACTGAAGAGAAGGTTGTCTTGAGAAGGAAACTAAGTACATTGTTTGGCAATCGAGAATTGTAATAGGTTTTAACTCGAATATCGATGAAGCTGCGAAGGCCTGTGTAAAACTGGACTATATGAATATAGTATCAAAAATAAATAGAAGTATCAAAAATGTTGGTAGTGCGATGATAAAAAGGCTAATGTGAAGATTTGGTTAAATTTACCTCCGCATTCTTGAAAATCTCGTTGGCTGATGCCCTGGCATCCTTTTCAGACATCATGTCAGACAGTATGTCTTGGCTGGCACCTGTACCCAAATGGTAACTGCCACTGTCCACTGAAATCACTATACATAGAAGATTAAAGATTAGCCACATAGAAATCCACACAACTTTGTAACACAAGCTTACTCAACAAAGACATGCAATATCGAAGAACGCGTATCCCATTATATAATATTATTTAATGACACAACTTTTCATTGAAAACTTTGGTAAAAACACATATCCAAAAGTGTTTAATGCACAGCTTAAAAGTTACGTTTACGACAAAATAACATACCCGAAGAGTTAAATTTGCTGGAGATGGTGTCAGAATGCTGTTTCTTGTAGTTTGGAGGCAAGGTCGAGTAACCTCTGTTTTCACCGCCCCGGTTTTCAGAGTTTCTCGATAAGCTTCTATCCAGAGTCAGTGAACGGTCTGTTGATAAAAAGAGTGAATGAATATTGAATCATCACGACGCTCTCCCATTAAATTGGTTTAATTTTCGACGCTGAAAAGTTCATCCATAAACAGCTAAAATAGCATGCTAGCTACACAAATGGAAAGTATATCTGAGGAACGGACCTCCATTGTGATGGGACACATCTTCAGCCTCTTTGCTTCTTGGAGTACTGTGATGGTTTCTATCCAGTTCTCTGAAATCTGAAAGCTGCGTACTGGGCCCAGATATGGTCGAACGACCTGGCGCTCTGAAAATGGGAAACGATTTGTTAATGGGTCCAAAATACCAATCCTCATTCTTCATTTATAATTATGTCCATATTCCACCAAAAAGATAGTTCTTAACACATTTGAAATTATAAAAATGTACACGTAACGGATCTGAACTGTAAGAATTAAACTACAGATCTTAACATTAGAGCTAACCCTCTAGTTAAGGTCCCAGCAGGAACTGTTGAAGCCGCTAAACTTGGTCTGGAAGCCGTGTAATCCCGTCTCTTAAGTCTAAAGAATGCGTGGTATTCCACGCACCTCCTCCAAAACAACTTACAACACTGTTTGTTGACAAATTTCAGTATAATGGTATCTTTTCCAGGTCCCTGAGACACAGTAATCTTCAATAAATTGACGATAACTTGAAGCAACATAAATTATCATAAATAATTAATTATTAATAACCCAAGAGGTGAATCATGAACATTTCCACTCATTTTACAGGAGTCCTTACCTCAGTATTTACTCTGAAAATTACGTAGAAATGGCGACCTTTGAAATCAAGCTTATATACTTTAGACCTGAAGATGATAATATGTTGTAAGGAAGACCCTACAATTTATATAAAAGTTTTCGTAATGTGATCATTCTATTGCATTGGATGATAGCAATCATTAGAGTAATTAAATGTTGTCAAAATATCTGAGTTTGTTTAATTGTTTTGTTATAAAAGTGAACTGCCAGCCAGCCAAAGCACGCGGTAATTTCGCGCGGGAAAACCCTCTATATAAAGCAAGCCTTGTCGCGCGTTTCGTAAATTCCGACAATAGCTGTGACTGGGTCGGCACATTGGCAGAAGACGTTTCCCTGAATTTTGTAGTGGATTTTGTAGTGGATTTTGCGCGCCGCACGTACTTAACAATATTTATCATTGTAGAATCTACGAGTCGTAGAGTCGTAGTACGACGGTAGCAGTCAGAAGTCTCAATAAACTGCTCGTACTTATACTTTTAAAGACACTTATAAGATATGAAAATCTAAGTAACACATCCACCCCACTCAGGCCGCCCATCCCAAATAGCTTGAAATCTGTGACAAATCCCTAAAAATCCAGAATGAGAATCTTTACCCCTGGGCCCTGAAGGGGATTTGTGTTGCTGAGTATTTGAAATATGTTTGGTGGTTAAATAGGTAGTACATATCCCTAACGATCACAAAGACCAAGTTTTAAGCTCTTGAACCACTCAAGCCACTCACAGAGTTGGCCAATCCAAAAATGACTGAAATCCTGGTAAAATCCAGATCGAGAATCTTTACCCCTGTAGTGCTTTTATGTTCCCGGGTAGGTGGGACATGTTTTAGTTTAAAAATGGGTTCTACCTGTCCCAAACCATCATAAAAATCAAGTTTCGACCTCTCAACCCACTCAGGCCACTCCCAGGGGCCACGCCCATCCCAAAATGACCGAAATCCAGCTAAAATCCAGACTTTAAAATCTTTACCCCTGTAGTGCTTTTATGTTCCGGGGTAGGCGGGACATGTTTTAGTTTAAAAATGGGTTCTGCCTGTCCCAAACCATCATAAAAATCAAGTTTCGACCTCTCAACCCACTCGGGCCACTCCCAGGGGCCACGCCCATCCCAAAATTACCGAAATCCAGCTAAAATCCAGACTTTAAAATCTTTACCCCTGTAGTGCTTTTATGTTCCGGGGTAGGTGGGACATGTTTTAGTTTTAAAATGGGTTCTACCTGTCCCAAACCATCATAAAAATCAAGTTTCGACCTCTCAACCCACTCAGGCCACTCCCAGGGGCCACGCCCATCCCAAAATTACCGAAATCCAGCTAAAATCCAGACTTTAAAATCTTTACCCCTGTAGTGCTTTTATGTTCCGGGGTAGGTGGGACATGTTTTAGTTTAAAAATGGGTTCTACCTGTCCCAAACCATCATAAAAATCAAGTTTCGACCTCTCAACCCACTCAGGCCACTCCCAGGGGCCACGCCCATCCCAAAATTACCGAAATCCAGCTAAAATCCAGACTTTAAAATCTTTACCCCTGTAGTGCTTTTATGTTCCGGGGTAGGTGGGACATGTTTTAGTTTAAAAATGGGTTCTACCTGTCCCAAACCATCATAAAAATCAAGTTTCGACCTCTCAACCCACTCAGGCCACTCCCAGGGGCCACGCCCATCCCAAAATTACCGAAATCCAGCTAAAATCCAGACTTTAAAATCTTTACCCCTGTAGTGCTTTTATGTTCCGGGGTAGGTGGGACATGTTTTAGTTTAAAAATGGGTTCTACCTGTCCCAAACCATCATAAAAATCAAGTTTCGACCTCTCAACCCACTCAGGCCACTCCCAGGGGCCACGCCCATCCCAAAATTACCGAAATCCAGCTAAAATCCAGACTTTAAAATCTTTACCCCTGTAGTGCTTTTATGTTCCGGGGTAGGTGGGACATGTTTTAGTTTAAAAATGGGTTCTACCTGTCCCAAACCATCATAAAAATCAAGTTTCGACCTCTCAACCCACTCAGGCCACTCCCAGGGGCCACGCCCATCCCAAAATTACCGAAATCCAGCTAAAATCCAGACTTTAAAATCTTTACCCCTGTAGTGCTTTTATGTTCCGGGGTAGGTGGGACATGTTTTAGTTTAAAAATGGGTTCTACCTGTCCCAAACCATCATAAAAATCAAGTTTCGACCTCTCAACCCACTCAGGCCACTCCCAGGGGCCACGCCCATCCCAAAATTACCGAAATCCAGCTAAAATCCAGGCTTTAAAATCTTTACCCCTGTAGTGCTTTTATGTTCCGGGGTAGGTGGGGCATGTTTTAGTTTAAAAATGGGTTCTACCTGTCCCAAACCATCATAAAAATCAAGTTTCGACCTCTCAACCCACTCAGGCCACTCCCAGGGGCCACGCCCATCCCAAAATTACCGAAATCCAGCTAAAATCCAGACTTTAAAATCTTTACCCCTGTAGTGCTTTTATGTTCCGGGGTAGGTGGGACATGTTTTAGTTTAAAAATGGGTTCTACCTGTCCCAAACCATCATAAAAATCAAGTTTCGACCTCTCAACCCACTCAGGCCACTCCCAGGGGCCACGCCCATCCCAAAATTACCGAAATCCAGCTAAAATCCAGACTTTAAAATCTTTACCCCTGTAGTGCTTTTATGTTCCGGGGTAGGTGGGACATGTTTTAGTTTAAAAATGGGTTCTACCTGTCCCAAACCATCATAAAAATCAAGTTTCGACCTCTCAACCCACTCAGGCCACTCCCAGGGGCCACGCCCATCCCAAAATTACCGAAAATCCAGCTAAAATCCAGACTTTAAATCTTTACCCCTGTAGTGCTTTTATGTTTCGGGGTAGGTGGGACATGTTTTAGTTTAAAAAATGGGTTCTACCTGTCCCAAACCATCATAAAAATCAAGTTTCGACCTCTCAACCCACTCAGGCCACTCCCAGGGGCCCACGCCCATCCCAAAATTACCGAAATCCAGCTAAAATCCAGACTTTAAATCTTTACCCCTGTAGTGCTTTTATGTTCCGGGGTAGGTGGGGCATGTTTTAGTTTAAAAATGGGTTCTACCTGTCCCAAACCATCATAAAAATCAAGTTTCGACCTCTCAACCCACTCAGGCCACTCCCAGGGGCCACGCCCATCCCAAAATTACCGAAATCCAGCTAAAATCCAGACTTTAAAATCTTTACCCCTGTAGTGCTTTTATGTTCCGGGGTAGGGTGGGACATGTTTTAGTTTAAAAATGGGTTCTACCTGTCCCCAAACCATCATAAAAATCAAGTTTCGACCTCTCAACCCACTCAGGCCACTCCCAGGGGCCACGCCCATCCCAAATTACCGAAATCCAGCTAAAATCCAGACTTTAAAATCTTTACCCCTGTAGTGCTTTTATGTTTCGGGGTAGGTGGGACATGTTTTAGTTTAAAAATGGTTTCTACCTGTCCCAAACCATCATAAAAAATCAAGTTTCGACCTCTCAACCCACGCAGACCACTCCCAGGGGCCACGCCCATCCCAAAATTACCGAAATCCAGCTAAATCCAGACTTTAAAATCTTTACCCCTGTAGTGCTTTTATGTTCCGGGGTAGGTGGGACATGTTTTAGTTTAAAATGGGTTCTACCTGTCCCAAACCATCATAAAATCAAGTTTCGACCTCTCAACCCACTCAGGCCACTCCCAGGGGCCACTCCCAGGGGCCACGCCCATCCCAAAATTACCGAAATCCAGCTAAAATCCAGACTTTAAAATCTTTACCCCTGTAGTGCTTTTATGTTCCGGGGTAGGTGGGACATGTTTTAGTTTAAAAATGGGTTCTACCTGTCCCAAACCATCATAAAAATCAAGTTTCGACCTCTCAACCCACTCAGGCCACTCCCAGGGGCCACGCCCATCCCAAAATTACCGAAATCCAGCTAAAATCCAGATTTTAAAATCTTTACCCCTGTAGTGCTTTTATGTTCCGGGGTAGGTGGGACATGTTTTAGTTTAAAAATGGGTTCTACCTGTCCCAAACCATCATAAAAATCAAGTTTCGACCTCTCAACCCACTCAGGCCACTCCCAGGGGCCACGCCCATCCCAAAATTACCGAAATCCAGCTAAAATCCAGACTTTAAAATCTTTACCCCTGTAGTGCTTTTATGTTCCGGGGTAGGTGGGACATGTTTTAGTTTAAAAAATGGGTTCTACCTGTCCCAAACCATCATAAAAATCAAGTTTCGACCTCTCAACCCACTCAGGCCACTCCCAGGGGCCACGCCCATCCCAAAATTACCGAAATCCAGCTAAAATCCAGACTTTAAAATCTTTACCCCTGTAGTGCTTTTATGTTCAGGGGTAGGTGGGACATGTTTTAGTTTAAAAATGGGTTCTACCCGTCCCAAACCATCATAAAAATCAAGTTTCGACCTCTCAACCCACTCAGGCCACTCCCAGGGGCCACCGCCCATCCCAAAATTACCGAAATCCAGCTAAATCCAGACTTTAAAATCTTTACCCCCTGTAGTGCTTTTATGTTCCGGGGTAGGTGGGACATGTTTTAGTTTAAAAAATGGGTTCTACCTGTCCCAAACCATCATAAAAAATCAAGTTTCGACCTCTCAACCCACTCAGGCCACTCCCAGGGGCCACGCCCATCCCAAAATTACCGAAATCCAGCTAAAATCCAGACTTTAAAATCTTTACCCCTGTAGTGCTTTTATGTTTCGGGGTAGGTGGGACATGTTTTAGTTTAAAAATGGATTCTACCTGTCCCAAACCATCATAAAAATCAAGTTTCGACCTCTCAACCCACTCAGGCCACTCCCAGGGGCCACGCCCATCCCAAAATTACCGAAATCCAGCTAAAATCCAGACTTTAAAATCTTTACCCTGTAGTGCTTTTATGTTCCGGGGTAGGTGGGACATGTTTTAGTTTAAAAATGGGTTCTACCTGTCCCAAACCATCATAAAAATCAAGTTTCGACCTCTCAACCCACTCAGGCCACTCCCAGGGGCCACTCCCAGGGGCCACGCCCATCCCAAAATTACCGAAATCCAGCTAAAAT